TAACTGCATAGAGTATTGCTGCTTGTATACAAGCATACTGTATACTGGGACGCGGACAACAGGTGGATGCTGCTTCTTTCCACTCAGGTCCCGATAACGGCTGATGAGTCAGTGGCGCGTCCGCGCAGCGAATCCGAACCGGTTTAGCCGCGGATCCGCGCATTGATAGTAAAAATCAATGTGTCAGAAACAAAGTGTTGTGTTAAAAGTACGTTCACAGTGCGGAGATTATTTAACCGCAGATTCTCTCTGTAACAGCAGGCCATCCAAGGGTTAGGGTTAGCAACAGTCAGAAAGCGAATACGGAACAAATACGCAGCGGATCCGCAAAGCGGACGGACTGTGGGGCGGGTTTGGCGGACCGAAAGCGGATCCGCTGCGGGTTCTGATGCTCGTAGGGGAACTGCCTCCAGTTGACGTAGTGGTCACTCACTGGTACTACAGCGGAGAAAATCCCCTGGGTTGAGAGAGGATTTTTTTCATAGAGCCCAGTGCAATCACAAACTGCTCGTGTTCGGCTGACGTGGCACCTACAACTTTCAAAAATGTCGGATTTGTTGGCAATTTTTACTTATTTTTAGATCATACATTTTTTCTCAGCTCAAAACCCTTCAGTTGTCTTAAAAAACGCTTTATAATCGTTAGTTTCGGCTCTGCTCTAGCTCCTCTCGCAAATTCATAGCTTTCTAAAATATTACTGTGGTTTGTATCGGTCGCGAATGATCCAGCTCTTAGAGTCGGCTCTTTGAAGTGAACGACGGGAGCCGGCTCCTCGTTGGGGGGACATTAGTACATTAATTATTAATTTTACTGACAGTTCTGCATTACTTTTGGTGATAAATGAATTCGGGAAGCAGAAAATCTGAGGAGCCATTTGGGAGCCGACAGAACCTGCTCTTTATAGTTAGCAGAACCAAAAGAACCGGCTCTTTATAGTTAGCAGAGCCAAAAGAACCGGCTCTGCAAAATTTCCGATCACTGTTGTAGTAGCGGACAGAGTCCGGCAGGGAGCAGACTCAAATTCAATCTTTACGCGTTTGTCGACCCACGTTCTTCCTTTTCCGGTGACGGCGAGCGCAGGTATGGTGGCGCTTGGTTTTCTTCTGGTAGAATACCGTTTAAAATCCAACGTAATCTTCCAACTAAAGATCAAACTGGGTCATTATAATTATCCGACGCAGATATTAAATCCACACATATCTATTCCCCGAACAATTGAGGACCTATGTTAAACCGATGAAGTGATATTTTGGTTTGTTGCGGTGCTTGTAAATGGCCGCACAAACAGAGCCGGCATGTTCAGCTTACACCATACTGAGGGAATATGATATAATAACACGCATATATAAGGTCACGTAGACACGCTTACAGCTGTGAATTTATTTTGTTGTTTTCTGTGTGTTTGCTTTCTAAAGCCTATGTCGGTGTTTCGCTATAACATATTAGCTTTAGCATCTTAGCATCCTCAGCCATATCACAGAAACTATGTTTTTCTTTTGCAGCTTCAACATGGTGCAACGCCTGACCTATCGTCGTAGGTTGTCCTACAACACAGCATCTAACAAAACCAGACTGTAAGAATGTGTGCTAATACCGAGTACAACAAAGACTCGTATTTTGGTACGTTGCGTGTCAAAGCACTGAACCTTTACTCGCCTGTGTTTCAGGTCTCGCACCCCTGGTAATCGTATTGTGTACCTGTACACTAAGAAGGTCGGCAAAGCCCCCAAATCAGCATGTGGCATCTGCCCAGGAAGACTGCGTGGAGTAAGTGCGCGCTTCTTTTGATTCGTGCTGTTGGGTTGTCTATGGAGATGGCCCCCATCAAACGCACACTTTCACAGACTATTGACAATCGTTTGTGCTCCGTGTGTGCTGCTTTATTTATTGAGATGTTAACTATTTTTTGTAGGTCAAATTAGGGTCAACCAGCCTCCCAGGAAGCTTAAAAATTCTCTAAAACGGCCCAAAATGGTGTCAGTCATTTGTGCTGAAAAGTTTTGTTTTATTTGCGGTCAATGGCGCCATCCAGTCCCTCAAAATGTTATATAGCGCTCAAAACAGGCAAATAATTATATGAAACATTTGTATTTAGTTTTTGCATTTTAAAGCATTTTTTAAGCTTCCTGGGAGGCTGGTTGACCCTAATCGAACCTATAAAAGAATCGTTAATATAAAAAAAAATAAAGCAGCACATATTCAACTTTTTGCAGCACAAACAACTGACATATAGTTTTTGTAGGTTTGTGTCTGATGGGGGGCGCCAACTTGATGCAGGCTGACATCTGTCTGCATGTCGTTGCACTGTGTATTCATGTTCACTTTTCATAGACTGCTCATTATAGTGTCAAGACAACTCCACAAAGTCTAAATTTTTTTGACAACTTTCAGAATACACAGCATTAACTTCTTGGGTTCTTTTTAAAGACAGTACAGTAGGAGGTGTATTTTCGTTGACATGTTTTGGCCTGCTAGCTGCGAGCCATCTTCAGAACTGTCACCTGTATTGGTGGTGGTGTCGTATATCAGCTGTTGTTGCTGTGGGCGTGGTCAGACCTGATGGACCTGGCAGGTCACACAGACTGACCACGCTTCCCGTCGCCTGGTGTTCTCTGGCGAAGGGTGTCCAAGGTGTGTAAAAGAAGGAACGCACGGTTAGCACGGTTAATGCTCTCCGTGAATCATTACCTGGTTTCAGTGGCCTCCCTCTTCCAGTATTTGAAATTGAAATGAGGAAACGATTAGCATTAACCATAATGACGGAGCGTTTTGAATATGGCTAGCAGACAAAACATGTCAACAAGGTAAATGCACTTTAGTGTATTGTCTTTTAAAAATAACCTAAGAAGTTAAAGTACATAAGACAGAATGAACATCTTTGGATTAGTCTGCAGAACAGTCTATGATGTATTACTTTTGTACTTATGTTGGTTAACTTTTTATTGGCAAAGATGAATGTGGTGTGTGCATGAGGATGGTGGAAGTCAGAGGGGGTTCAGAACCTTGCTTCTACTAGTCTGCACCAGGGCAGCTGAGGCTACTATAGAATCATACCACCACTGAGTGTGGAGTGACTGGATTATTTAAGATCTTTGGGTGTCTTGAAGGGCAATAAATTAAATGCAGTTTTAAATGGCTATGGTTATCTACCTTGTAAAGTTGCAAACTGGAATTGTTCTTAATTTGGGAAGAAAAAGATCTTATTTGGTCTGTCAGTTTGTCTTGTTAAGTTAATGATTTTGGTGTATAACTCTAATTGTGCTTTTTGTTTGCAGATCCGTGCAGTTAGACCACAGGTTCTCATGAGGCTCTCAAAGACCAAGAAGCACGTCAGCAGAGCTTACGGAGGGTCAATGTGTGCCAAGTGTGTGCGAGACAGGTAATGTTTTGCACTTAGTGATATTTTTGAGCAATGGTCTGAAGCGAAAATTGACAACTTTTTCTTTGCAGGATCAAGCGTGCTTTTCTGATTGAGGAGCAGAAAATTGTCGTCAAGGTGCTCAAGGCACAGGCACAGAGCCAGAAAACTAAGTAAAGTGTGTTTGTACAATGAAAATAAAATACAATAAAAATTATCCTGGGTTATTGAGTCTATAAAACACAAATCTGTTCTAGTTTTAATTTTATGAAGTGTCTTTTGGCAATGTTTAAGAATTCCATTGACGGTAAGGTGTGTGGGGTCTCGTCCAAAAGAGACAGAGGACGGCAGTAGCTCATTTGATGGTGTCTAGTGACCCAAAATATTTGTTCAATCCCTGATCTGGTCAGTGCCTACAGTTGTCTTTGGGCAAGAAAACCGACCTCACCAGCATACACTGACTGAACAGTTGAGGGTTTTATTCATGTAGAGTGTGGAGAAGCTTAACGGATATGTTTATTTGTGATTAAGACCAACTACACATTAGTATCTCAGACTGAGGTAATTGGGCAGCTTCTTGGTCATATGGAGGTCCTTGCTAGTTTTATTTGAACAGGTTCACTTATGGTTTGGTACATAAAATCTTTCACAGATTTAGCACTTTTTTTGTTTGTGCTTTTGGAAAATTTTAACAAACAAAAGAACAGTTTGTGGGTTCTACAAAAAAAAAGGAAAAATACCTCATACATTCAAGTGAGCGTTGTAAATAGACCATTTGGACCATCACTTTTTAAATTTAGCAGCTTTCAGTCTCAAGTAATATGTTTTTTTCCATCCCATATATTTCCTCCATTATATCTGTCCATTGCTGTAATTTTAAAGGGTCATCCTTCAGCAACTTGTTATTGCTTTCTTACTAGCCAAGAGCATCACTTAAAACAAATAGAAGAATGTGGTTTTCATGCAACAAGCCCAACTACATAACACGTGGGTCATTGGGTATTGTATAACCAAATACCTCTTCCATTACAATTGCTAAACTTTCCCAATAGGATTTAATTTTAATACATTTTCAAAACACGAGAATGACTGGCACTCCATTCACCACACCGTCTCCAACACGGTGGAGGGGTTTTCAACTGCTTACTTTTGATGTGTGGAGTAATAAAATACCTCACCAGGTTTTTCCAACCAAATTCTCTCCATTGTCTTGAGCAGGTGGAAGTGTCCTGTAAAAGACATATAGAGTGCCAATCATCCTCTGACAATTCAAGGTGCAATTCTGTTTCCCACTTTTGTTTAATATACATTGTGTTATTCTCATTAGCATTTTGTGAACATTTATACAACTTAGACACAAATTTGGAAGGTAGCTGTAATTTCTATTCATTCACTGCCCAGGTATAGGACTGTTTTAATAATGAATCAGGTATTTATAGCGTTTTTTTGGGCACTCAAACATTTTCGATTTGTTGTAGGTGGAAGACTCTGTAGACTTAAAAGTTACTGTCTGTTAAATGTTATGTCTACGAAACTTATTTTAATAGATCCATGCTACGAAACAGTCAAGCTGCGTCACCTAGTGTCTCCGCTCTGGTCCTGAGGATAATTTTGAAACGCACTGACGTCAGACGTACAGTGGCGCTTTTGCTTCCGGGACACGTAATCACAGCTGCAGCGGCGAAGACTTCTCCATCAGCTGCAAGATCCGCGGCGTGCACCGGGAATCGCAAATATTCCCACAAACCATGGAGACTTTGTACAGCATACCGTTCACCGTGCTGGAATGCCCAAATATAAAGCTGAAGAAACCCTCTTGGCTGCATATGCCGTCTGCTATGACCGTCTATGCCGTGGTCATTGTGTCATATTTTCTCATCACTGGAGGTAAATGATATGCTAACAATTTCAATAAAGGGATCTAACGTAAAGTGTAGAGTTGTCCAGTGTTATTGAGAAGTGTCCTTAACATGTAGCTTGATTTTGGTCCGAGATGTTCTTCCTGTCTCTTTTTCTTTGCATGTAAATTGTAACTATAAGGCTAATAGGCTAAAGTTAGCACCATAGCAATTCGTCATGTCTTTCCGTGTTTCCTTACAATGAACAGTGGTTTAAACTTAAAGTGTTACATTATTGATTTGTTATTATGTTTTTAAGTTTAAATCGTGCTGTTATTTATTAATTTATTGTCTTTTTAGGAATTATTTATGATGTTATTGTTGAGCCCCCCAGTGTGGGATCAATGACTGATGAACATGGACATCAAAGGCCAGTAGCCTTTCTGGCCTACAGGTAGAACAAAAACACAATTAAACTGTGCAGTTCTGTTAAATATACACTAACAATTTTTATTTCTCTCCACCTGTTTCTCAGAGTAAATGGACAGTACATTATGGAGGGATTGGCCTCCAGCTTCCTCTTTACAATGGGAGGACTGGGCTTTATAATCCTGGATAGATCCAATGCTCCTAACATTCCCAAACTCAACCGCTTCTTGTTACTGTTTATTGGTTTCGTGAGTGTGCTCCTCAGTTTCTTCATGGCCAGAGTGTTCATGCGCATGAAGCTGCCGTAAGTTATTTTCTTCATTTGGTTCATTCTACATTATTAAATTTGTCTTTCAGTAAGAATGTATGTGATTTAATTATTTTTCAGAGGATACCTGATGGGATAGAGTAGCACCGTACCACCTAAAGAAGACAACAATATGAACTGATAACACTGCACTCTCTAGATTTGGACATAAGGCACTGATATTGTGAACTGGACTTTTGTAAAAGTGCATAATGATTATACACTATACAAGACTTTTCAAATGTGGGGCTCTTTGAACAGTGTTGGAGCTCAGCTAAATTACCTTTATTTAGGCCCTGTTTATAGGTCCTTTTGAAATGCAGTCTACACATAATTTGTATTGCAGTATCTGAATTTGTCAATTTTTGTATGAAGTGAATTAAATCTGGTTTTCACAGTTTGTGCCTGATACTTTTTAGATAGAACTTAAGTATAGTAACGGTTGTAATTTAGCTTTGAGAGCTGAGTCACAAACAGTGAGCACTGGTTCCAGTAGATGGCGTTCTAGCCTTTCACACACTAAAGACTAGTCTGATTAAACATGCAACGAGACATGCCTCACAGAAAACATATATCATATGGTTTATTACATCACCTCACTTCATTTTAATCAAAACATTTTGACAGTGTGTAGCTCAAAAGCACTTTCTGCACATTCTGCATTTTAATGCCAATTATCATATATTAAGAGTATTAAAATATGTACATTTTATAAATAAGCAGCACCCTTTAAGAGTATTAGGATAAAATTAACACATTCATAATTTCCTGAAACTATATGTGAAAACAAGCTCATTTAGGCTGTTCGCATAATATTCTCCATGATATAAAAGGTAGATTTATGTCTTGATCCTTTTGGTTTGAAGAGGAGCTTCTCTGCTGTAGATTATCTCATGGTTCTGGTGGTTTTCTTCATATATCTTCAATACAATAAGAGACATGAGACAAAATCTTGTTCAATTCAGACTGAAATTGAAGGATCTTGTAATCAATATTTAAACAAACCTTTCTTTTAGTCCCTTCATTATTGATATCCAGTTTGCTTGTCATGCCTAATGCTTCTTCTATTTCTGAAAAGCAAGGTGACATGATTAGGAGGTGTTCCAGGCAGTCTAGGGTATCATTAGAAGCGTTCATAATTAACAACCAGACAGAAAGGGTCCAGTGCCACAGAAATAAATGATGTAGCGATTGGCCGAATACCTGTGAGAATGTGGTCAATCTTTTCAACCACAAAGTCCACGTCTTCTTTGGTGAAGCACAGAGGAGGCTTGAACTTGAGCACATTTCGATGAGGTCCGTCTGCACTCAGGAGAATGTGTTGCTCCTTTAGCCTGTAGAAAGAGAACAGCATTTTTGCCCACAAAATTAATCAGCATTAATCACCTTTCAAGAAGACATTTTTAGTAACTCATTTGCTATAACAATCAGGTATTCACCATTGCACATTTGTCAAGCCTACTTGTGCAAGTTTAGAGACCAGAAACACTCAAATTCACAGAAATTTAGATTCTTACTTTTAGATTTTTTTTTTGTTTGCTTTTCAAAAAGAAATACCTGTAAATGACTTCTTGTGCCTCTGCTGTGGCAGGGGTGAGTTTGTACTGGTCTCGTACGAGCTCAACACCAACAAAAAGGCCACAACCCCTGCAGGAACAAAGTATAATTTTTATAGCTGGCATCCTGAGTGTGTGTCTAATAGGGCTGCACAATACAGCTCTATTCAATCAATAAAAAAATGTAAAAGAAACAGGATGCCCCCTGCAAATAACAAAATATATATTTTTATTGAAAAAGCTTGTTGTACCTGTAATTAGGACCCCTACAAACGTATTCTGAAATTAATAAGATTCTCGGATTAATTATGTTTGCTGGAAAAATCACATTTAGAGTTTTTTTTCCAAAATCAAGCATCGTATATATTGAGTGTACAGCTCACTCTCTGTGTAACTGTCCATGCTGTGTACCTGATATCTCCTATCAGTGGGTGTTTCTTCTTGTGTTTCTCCAGTACACTGCACAGGTATCCCCCCACACGCAGTGCATTGCCTTGGAGATCCTCTTTCTCAATCACGTCGAGCACAGCCAGGCCGATGGCACATGACACGGGGTTACCTCCAAACTGGGAAATTCAAAACCCATGAACTGTCAGACTATGCTATGGTCAGTCAGACATCCACCACACACACATGATACACTGGAGGCTGACTCATCATGAGGATTTTGTTTGAGTTCATTGTGAGTTATGCAATGCAATTTAAATGAAATATTAACATACACCAATCAGGCTTAGCATTTTGACCACCAGCAAGGTTTGTGGTCTCTGTGATGGCTAAATGACTGGGTTAGTGCAAAACTGCAGCTCTGATGGGATGTTCCAAGTCTAGAGTGGCTACGTACTATCAAGTCTAAGGAAATAATGTACACTGTGAAAAATATTACATTTATATTATATTTGTATCAAAAGTATAAAATATTAATTTCAAAATAGTGTGCACAGAGTCAATTTCTATGGATCATTAAATAAATTTCCCATTCATTTTTTCAGTAGAATTTTCAAATTTTAGTATTAATATTAATGTAAGAGTTTAAAGGTACAACGGAGGTTAATCAGCAATGTGTTAACTAATGTCTATAACACATGAACTTGGCAGTTTGTAAAATGTCATAAAAAATATTATAAATAAATCTATAGGTCTTGTGATCATTAGTTAACACATAGGTAATTAGCTCCCTGCAAATCTTTTCTAGACAAGAGGGAAAAGTGAATGGGAAATTTACTACCGGAACTTCAAAATGTGCCGTGACTGTTGAGCTCCACAGGAGGTTTACAGAGCAGCACCAAACACTACTGAAACTGAAAATGATAATGTTATATGATATATCTTCTTGGTTAAGGTAGATAAAACAAATATGATACAAGTTAGTCATGCTTACTGTGTTAAAATATTCCATTCCAGATTTCATGAAGGCCTCGGCCACTTCTTTTGTTGTGACCACACAGGACAGAGGGTGCCCGTTTCCTATTGGTTTGCCCATAGTCACAATATCAGGCACAAAATCATCCCCTTGAAGCTGAAAGGCCCAGAAGTTGCTACCAACTCTACCGAATCCCACCTGGACCTCATCAGCAATAAACACACCTCCAGCTTTACGTACATGCCTGTAGAAAAAAGTAAAAAGTAGAACTATATTTCTTGTGAAATCAGTAAAAATGCAAAGTTACTTACTCTGCAACCTTTTGGAAATAGCCCACAGGGGGGATCACCTGCCCACCACAGCTCTGCAATGACTCAGCAATAAAAGCAGCAATCTGGAGGAGGTAAGTTACATAGATTCAGTTTATGAAATGCCTCCAAAACCAACAAAACAAGTTCTCCTGACCTCTAAACTTAATTTCTTTCCTTTTCATGATAATATTAACCCGGGCAAAGGCGACTTTTCGCACAATAATCAAACTCATAAGGGAAAATGGTGGTATGGTACTGCATGTGTAGTTTAAGGGTTGTCCGATTTGTCATCTCTATTTGTATTTTGAGACATAACCAATAAAAAAATACAATAAAGCAACCTCAACAACATTCAGCCTACACAATGTTCTGCACAACAAAGCGTTTTACTATAATGTTTGTAATGTGTGTTCTGGCTGACTACATAGGCCGGTTAAGGGAGTGACATGTAATGAAAAGATGCGTTCAAATACAATGACTAAATAAGTACTTGTCTTAGCCCAGCCACAGAACAGGATCTTCTTGTAACCTGCACCTTGTGTAAGTCCTGACTTGGCATCAATACATAATACATCACATGCTTGAATAAATGAACCATAAAGGTTCTATATTGCACAAAATCTACTTTTGTGAGCTTTAAGCCGTGTTAGAATAACGTTGTTACCTCAAAAACAGGCCTGGAGTCGTGTTTTGTTTCATTCACACATGAGTAATTCTTTATTATTACCCTGTCTACATCTTCAAAGCTCAAAATGCTCTGTTCCACCTTGTGATGTCATGAAGCGGTAATTTTCAAGTTAATAGCTACTTTTTACATTTATTTCACTGGCAATTCTAAGGCTGAAACCATCCAAATTATTCTAGTGAAGTTATATGGGGTTTAAAAACACAGTCAGGCACTTCCTGTATTACCACATGTAATCACAAGGTGGAACAGAGTGATTTCTGTTTGAGAGAACTCATCGTAAAAATGCAAAATTATGCGATGGAAAAAAGAAAAAAAAAACATAACTCCAAGTATGTTTGTGACGAGGAAACATTCCATTATAACATAGATCAGAAAACAGCGTAATATGGGCCCTTTAAGTGTCATCAGGTCATGTGTGAAATGTGTAGCAGAGACAACAGGGTCATACAGTATAAGCAAACAGTTATATCGTACCCTTCCTCCTTTTTTTTCAACTTTGTGGATTATATCTTGTACTTCATTGGCATACGCTGTGGCTGGGTCATGGTGGTCTCTTCTGTATTTCCCTCTGTACACATCTGGACTGGGAGCCTGTTCAGGAAATTATAAAAAAAAAGTATTGATTGGGGTCACGGGACAAAATAAGTTTATTCAGCAGGAGGTTCACACAAACTGTTTGTGTCTATGGTTTGGACCCAAACAAGCAGTGCTGATTACCTGTTTGTGTAACTTCACAGAATGATTTCATCTGTCTGTACCTGTTGACCCAGTTACAGACAGATGCCACAGAGTTCAAAGGAGATAAATAAAGTAGAACAATAATAAGAAGCACGTCTGCAATGAATCAGGTCGGTGCACATTTCTTGGAGTAGACCAAAACACACCCAGAGCACCAAAAACAACCGTGGGACATTTGGGCCACAGGCTTTTGCTCCACAGATCTGGAGCTACCTGCCACAACACGCTGAGTTAGGGCAGTTTAATAGTGTACACAGGGAGGCACTCACCACATGCACAGATGGGTTCATCTTGAAATCAGGCATCTGGTGAAACTTGTATGGACTGATGTCAATAAGTGACGAAACGTGACCATGGTATGCACTGCAAACACACAAAACACATAAACAACTGTGGACTGGGTCAAAATACAAGGGGTTTTGGAGGAAGACAACAATACTTCACAAAGACATGATATATTATTTTTGTATTTTTAAATTATGGAATTTAGTACGGTAATGTATTTCTTGCTGACAAACAATCTCATAATAATGCACTCACACTTTAATACTACTAATACTAATTACACGTTTTTGTTTTCAGAGATGCAAATAAGTATTCAAAAAGCCAATGCAGGAAAATTACTAACCATCAAAACTAAATGCATGATTAAAAGTAGGGATGCACTTGGTATTGGGTTACAGACAATCCAGAAATGTACTCAGGTATCAATTCCAGGACTTCAACTGACCCAGAACAACATTTAGATTTGAATGTTTAATGTTTATTCCACAGTTACTTCATATACTTACTTTTGTATTTATATGGGTATCTGGACTGAAATTGTTTGATTAATGGATCTGTAAGTACCTGCAATTTACTTGTTTAACTGTAAATTGTTGTTGTATTTATGTATAATTTTATGTATTCATGATTTTTGCTTGTGTGATGTTTTTATGTGATTTTTTTAAAGATGAGGCTGCATCAGAATTGCTCCTTGGGAATCAAATAAGGAAATCTAATGTAAACAAAAAAGAAATCTGCTGAATCTGAAGTACTGAGGTTACATACAAAACGTACCACGGGCCTGGACTTAAAACAGTGTATTTTGTGTGGACTCACTTTTCGAGAGTGATGACGTCCTTGTGGCCGGTGTACTGCCGGGCGAGACGCAGGGCCAGGTCATTGGCTTCAGAGCTTAAAGTTCAAAGGGCAAGGGTTACTTTGAGTTACTCAGTGACCACAAAATACACACCAGCTCTATTTGACTTCTCCCTACGAGGACTCATCAGGTGACATATATTAGTGTTATTATAAACATATTAATCACAAGCGAGTAAGGAGTGGAGGAAACTTTGTACTTTTCATTTAAAAATATAAAGTAGATATAAATGAAATGTAAAGTTATATATGCACTTACTAACACTCAAAGGTACTAATAACTAATATAGCTTCATCTAAGATGTTACTATTGTTTTATATGTATGTACTGGTTTTTCTATTACTAAATACATCTACAATTGCTTTTAAAACTTCTTTTTTAGAATTACTATGCATTATTACTACTTCAGCATCTACTACTGCCTTTGTCACTCATCATACAGGCTTGTGATAAAATTACTATTACCAGTATAACTATATACGTGCAAGAAATCAATAAAAGCATCTAATCTACTTGTTAACAACACTGCTTTATGTCAGTATCTTGGTATTGACATTGTTTTTCATTAATGAAAGATGACTAATGAATATTAAGATGACTAGTGTAAAGGATGTGCATTATCTTGCTTCTTATCTCCCTAAAGCACTAAAACCATAACTCACTCACTTATGTTTCCGTAATACAGTTTCAAGTTTGAACCTTTGCTGACTCTGCTGTTTACCAAGAACTGGATAAGAAACGCGGGGAGGACACATCTTGGTTTCATAATTACTGGAAAACACATGTTGTTATTACGGACAGTACACTGACCAGCGAATTCCAGCTGACACTGAACTGACACTGAAGTCTTGGTTTGTCAATAAGTAACCTTACTCACTTAAAATGGCTTAAGGACTAACTTGAAACTAAAATGTAATTATATGAATTGCATATGAGATATTGATGAAGACTATAATTGAATTTTCAGTGTGTTTTATAGATGAATATGACAATGCCATGTGGAGAAGACCAACTAGGAACAGGAGGTGGAAATGAACCAGACAACAGGTACTCATTATGTTCAAATTGTTCAAATACAAACAAAAAGTATAACTAAATTTGTAATATTTGGTCTTCATTATTCAAAGAACCATTGTAATGATTACAGACTCAGTATTTTAAAGGTGCACTTGTAACTAGGGCTGGGTGTCATTAAGAAGTTGCCGATACGATACATATCTCGATACATAGGCCACGATACGATACATATCTCGATACAGTGACCTTTCGATTCGATACGATATATTTCAAATCGATTCGATATGGTTCAATTAAAAATAAAGGCTAAATCATGGCTGTGATACTTAAAGTCTTTGTTAAACCACTTCATGTGCAAATTTTATATGAAACATAAACATTTTAATCATCAAAACAGTGAAAATGTCAAATGTGTCGCATAAACGAGTTTCCTTCCTCTAAACAAGCAACAAAATAATTTAGTAAAATATACCAAAAAATACTCTTCGCGATATATCAATACAGCAGCCCATGATATCGATACAGTATCGTCACATTAAGCGATACAATATATCGATATTTCAATATTTTTGCACACCCCTACTGTAACCTTTCTGTTGGGGGTTCCAACACTTGCATGTCCATGTAAATGTAATTGTTTTGCATGAAATGTTTCACAGTACGGCATTAGTGTGCTCACCTCTCCACAGATCTGACTTGTAACTTGACCAGGTGACTTGTTTCTATGAATATAACACATTGAATGCCATACTGTGAAACATTTCAGCCAAGGCTAATATATCTCCAGGAGACAGGCAAGCGACAGACCCTCCTCCAGTCATCCTACTTTTCTGGCATAACAAAATTGTCATGTAACCTCTCAATCAAGTTTCAGAAGAGTTTTGGAATGTTGAATGCATAACTATACTGAGCACAGGCGGCATGTCATTTCTTGTTTTCTTCTACCACTAGCACTGGTGGCAAAATCAACTGAGTGAAGGTGTGTTCAGACTGCTTCACGCAATCACATCAGCACTGGAATTAATTAGAGACCAAAGCCAGAACTAAACCTGGACTAGACCGGTAATATAATAGGACTAGAACACACCCAAAGCATGCTGATATTTGAACTGACACAAAATGTATCAGATAAAACACATAACAATCATAACTCAAAACATTTAGAGCATTCAGTGTGTCATCACATAGAAAGATTATAAGTTATTGACATTTTTCTTCTTACCCAGAGTTGACAAAGTAGCAGACGGATAACTTCTCCGGCAGCGTTGACTGTAGTTTCTGAGCAAAAAGCACAATGTTGTCATGGAGAAAGCGTGAGTTTGTGTTGAGAACCTCCATCTGATGTGCCCCCGCCTTCACCACATCAGGGTGACAATGCCCCACTGAAGGAACAGGAAAGAAAATGTTTTAATTAGGTAAACGTGTACAGTAAACAGGGTTATTCAAGGTCAAATAAACAGGAAGCATGCTGTAATAAATCGCACTGGCAAAGAAAAGTATTGCAGTGAATAGCAGTGGTAGAAGTAGGGCAGTAGTGTTGGTAGTTGTAGGCTATGTATTGTGTAGGGTTTCAGTTCAAGAAATGTTATTGTGATTGTAATAAGATGACGCATTTATAAAGGAGGATTTTGTTCTGAATGCACTTAGTAAACAACTCCAGGAATGTCAACATTGGACATAGGACTGAAATGTGAACTGAGACAAACTTTACTGATGCGCAAAGGAAATTATTTGGACACAGTAGCTTGCACTTCACAACAAAATATAATAATAAAGAGCAAAAATATAAATTGTAATAGCTCCTGGAAACTTCCTAATTCAAGAATCCCAGGACATGAATGTTTGTAGAGGTTTAAACTACAGGTTCTATAGGCTAAATAGACAGGATATGCCTAATAAAATGCACCAACTAACCAACTGTACCTGTTGTGATTTAGATTTTATTACAGTATTGTGCAGCAAAAGTTGGATAGGTTAAATTGTAAAAGAAATACTGAAAAAGAATACAGACCATTTGAACTGATGCAAAGGTCAATTCAAAACGGAAGCATGCCATAACAAATTATATTGGTAGTGCAATAAACAATAGTAGTGGCACCTGCAGCAAGTATAGGTGTCAGGTATGCAGTACTTTCTTCCAGTAATATCGTACTACTAAAAACCTACAGTTTAGTGAAGCAAAGTTTTGGAGTTAAAGGTTGTATAGAGGATTTTCCAAGGAACGAGAAATCCAGCGACTGTTTGTCCTTTTTCAAATGTTGCGCATGCGTGAAACCACCCCCCCTCCTCCCCCACAGCTCCCTACGTAGAAACGCCTCCTCCTTACGCCAGAAACAGGTTTGTTTCTAGAAAACAAGTACTCATAGCTGCACATGACTTGTAAACAACTAACTACAGTGTTGGTTAGGCAAGATGAAGAAGTGAGGAGCGGGGGGAGGGGGTGCGTGGACATTTCGTGTGCGGAAAAGAAGTGAGGAGCAGGGGGAAGAGCGGAACGGGGAGCGAGGAGAGGAGAGAGGACAGGGGAGCGGTGCGCGGAGATTCCGTGCGCAGAGAAGAAGTGAGGAGCAGGGAGAAGAGCGAAACGGGCAGCGGGGAGAGGAGCAGGACGGGGTGCAGAGAGGAGTGTGCGGAGATTCAGTGCGAATGAAGCTACTACTACAACACGCAGCAGCAAGCGGACTCTTTCTTTGCCTTGAAAATTACGTTTTCAGACATAGGATATCACATTCGTGTCTTGAAAAACGTTTGTCTAGCTCTTGGAAATAAAGTACGTTTTCATAATAAGCAGAAGTTACCTGTCCAGAAGTAATTTGGTGATCAATGCGTCAGTCTTTAGACCCTTCGTCTGCTTCACTCGCGCCATCGCTGGAATGAATCTACAAGAATCACCTTAGTTTGGCTTCGCTGCTTTTCCCCTTGTCTTCTCCTTTCAGCAACCTCAAAAACGGACTTTCTTTTGCGGCTAACTGCTCCTGGATTCTTGTCGCCATCGCAACAAACTTTGTGCTAACTGCGAGGAAGATATAGGTCAAAAAAGCCGCTAAGAACTGTTGCGTTGGTGGAGTAAACAGCGTCTGTGTGTCTGTGGACTGCGTGACAGGCGTACGTAAACCACGTAATGGCAGTGCGCAGGCAAGTCAGTTACGCTAGAAACGTAGGGAGTTTGATTGACAGCCTATCAGCTAACAGATAACGAGGCAGTGTCGTTATCTATTGGCAAATGTTTAGCCCCACCACGTCCAGAGTTGATGAATTTTTATTCTCTTTTTTTTTGGTCATCATAATTACAAGGCTACTGCATCTCTATAATGCTATCATTGACAATTTGAAACAAAAAAAATCCTCCATACAACCTTTAAAGACAAAAAAATTAATATTGTATAGATGTTTTTTGGCGTTTAAGACAATAAAATGAATATTGTATAGATGTTTTTTGGAGTTAAATGCAATAAAATAACTACTGTATAGTTTTTTGGATTTAAAGACCATAAAATGAATATTGTACAGATGTTTTTAGGAGTTAAAGACAATAAAATGAATATTGTATAGATGTTTTAGGAATTAAAGACCATAAAATGAATATTGTGTAGATGTTTTTTGGAGTTAAAGACCATAAAGTGAATATTGTATGAATGTTTTTGGAGTTAAATACAATACAATGAATATTGTGTATCGTGTTTACTTATATTACCATGAGCTACATTGTTGATGCAGTCCAAGTAGCGTCGTCCCGTCTCGTCGTACATATATTGCCCCTTTGCTCGCACTATCTTGATGGGGTCATGGCTGAAGAAGATCTTGCACGAGGGTCTGCAGAAAAAGCACCCATTACGCATTTTACGCACAGGCTCGATACAGTCTGGTTAGCGATACATGCAAAGTTCATCTGCTGGTTAACTACAATTGTGTTGGTAAAGAAAACAAAGATGCATGCCTAATTATTTACCCTAGGAGGTCCTTTATTATTGCCCTCACTATTAATGTGAATGTGGAAATATGTCTCATGTAAATACAGTCTTAAGTAGAAATAGAAGTTAAAATGCCCACATCTTACCCAATGTGCTTTTTCCTCAAGTCTATCGTCTTACTCTTCTCAATTTTCTCCCCAGACATCTTGAAAACGTCCAGTGGGCTACGTACAGGACGCTCTCTCTCCTTCCTTCCTTCGAGGAGCACTGAATCTCGAAGTTCCACGAGAGCGACAAACAGGCACCGGCTCCGTCTGACGCGCTCACGCCTCACTCTGATATGACAGGAGCCCAAGGGCTGAGGAGCGGGCGGTTTGCCAATGCTGCCACCTCCAGGCGTAACGAGAGAAGGGACACAAGTAGGTTATGAAGGTGCAGAGGTGGAGTAGGAGGGTGGAGAAGCAAAGAAACGCAAGCTGCGAGAGAGTGCGGTTATTTTAAAGTTAAATTATACAAATACAGTAGTAGTGGCAGTAGTAGCTTAGCAGTGATCAAAGAAATTACTTAAAAGTGCACTATGTAACTTTTTGGTTGGGGGGGTCTGTCATCTTCTCGTTTATATGAATATGTCATCGCCCTATATCGAATATTCCACAATATAACATTAAACGTGTCTACCTTACATCAGATTTACTTCAAAAACAGGCATTCTGACTGTAAGCGGGGGTGACTCTCCACAGATCTGACCTGTAACTTGACCTAGTTTGGTTTCCAAGATGATAGAAAGGTTTTATGTCATACTGTGAAACATTTCAGACAAAGCAAAAAGCAGAAGGGCGGACCTTCCAGCTACACAGTGCACTTTTAAGCTGAAGTACAAAAGTAGGCTACCTGGAGTAACAACTAGGCTACTTATGTAAAACTATTACTCAAGTAAAAGTAACTGTGGGAGTAACTGTAATGTCCAATTTATAATCTGAAGCTAATGTAGGATAACTGTGAGAACAAATCATTCAACTCTGCATTAAAGGATAAACCAGATCATATCAAAGTATCTAAAGGAGCAGTGAAAAAATTCAAATGTTCAAATCATTTTAACATGATCAACATAAATATTTTGTCACTTAAGAGGAAGAAGTAACAACTTTTACTTAAGTAGCCTAAAGACTGCGTTGCAACCCTTAAGTGGGTCACAAGAGATTTTTTTGGGTTGCCTTGTTACGATCTGAAATATACAGTTCTGCCTATACGCCTGATATTCCTGTTGTGCTTTCCTCACTCTGGACTGGAAAGCGCTACAAAAATGCAGCCAGACCCACCTATCTCAGTACAAATGTTGAAATGTTAAGATTTCTAAATTTTTGTAATTATTTTATTGACTATTTTGTTCCAATATTGCTGGTTCAGTTAAATATTGAAAAGAAAAAGAAATGAGCTACATTTAATGTCCAAATATGCAACTTATAGATCCCTTTTATTGCTGCTTCAGTTACTGTTTTTTATAGTTTAAAACTTGAGTAATACTAATTGTTCAGAGAGACACGATCACTATCAATATCCTCATTAATGTTCAATAAAGGTCAAATCCGCCTTTATTTTGTGATTTATGAATAATGTCTATTGACTTTGGCTGCAAAGGTTTGTGACTTTTAAAATGTGGGTTCCCAGAAAAAAAGTTTGGGGAACACTGGCATAAGAGATATTGTAAAATACAGCAGCAGGAGTAGAAGTATGATGTTAGAAAACTACTACAAGGTTACTCAGGTAGGCCAAGTGTACTTGAGTAAATTTAACAATACTAATCACCTCTGATAAGGCCTGTTTTAAATCAAGGGGAATAAAAGTAAAACAATAGAAAAGATCAAGTTAAATTACTTCACCAAGTAACATGCGTGAAACTGATGAATGTTATGAGATTCACTCTATTAAGAATAAATGAACAAACAATTTAAACTGAAACACCACAAAAGACAGTTACATGTATTTGAAAGTCTGCATTTATTTGGCTCCAACAGTACAGAAGTCACTTGAAAATATGATAAACATTTGTGTCAAAGAAACTTCAAAAGGGGGCAAGAAATTAAGAAATATTTAAAACTGTAATTTTTACTCAGCAATGAAATAAAAATGTTATCCACAAGTTCACTAAACATTGTTTGATTATATAACTGTTTTGTTTCAACTGTAAAATAAGTGGTGGGTTTATCAGAATACCAATAATTCCACAATGACTTAAAATCAAAACGTGCAGCTCCTTCTCAACACTCACTAATACTGATGGAAATAAACGTGTAAAATATTTTGGCACTTCAGCATTTTGCAAAATATTTCAGCCAATATCTCACCAAACATTAAAAACTCAAATAAAAAAAGATACAAAAGCGAATAAAAATAGCTGCACTCACTAAAGATACAGCACCACGTGAGAACAATAGAAAAAAAAAATGGAAATCAAAAACAAATATTAAAAAAAAAGTACAACAAAAATTTAAGTTGTGATACTCTTGATTGTGTAAGTGGAAGGTAAGTTGAGAACTGCGATGTCGTTAAACTAAGAAAAGTAGTGGTATAATGAGTAGCATAAGGAGCTAAACAAATCACATATGACATTGTGATATTTAAGCTGCATTTGGTGCTACACACATGAACCAAAGTTTAAATTGCACTTTTGTCAAATGAGCACACATTTTAACAATACATTAATAATAATCCACTATACATATATCAAACTACATTCAATGCAAAGATGGGAGAGATGTGTGAAGACGTGAAAAGGCTGTAGTCGACCCGAGTCTACATACACCCAGACCTTTATGTTTCTATAGATACCGTTGTTACATAATTTTACCCCATGATAAGGTCTATACACAGAAGTAAATGCACAAAAATAACTAAGTAACTGTTTCACACACCATTTCCAGCTTAAAACATCTGAGAAAAAAAAAAAAAAAAATCGCCTTTAAAAATAACTGGAAGGAATGCTGTTCAAAACCAAAACAATGCCTTCATTTAAGAAATCATACAAAAATAAATAAGTTTAAAATATGAAAGACAATACACAAAAATATATGCACAGAAATTGTTACAAATCAAGCAACCATTGACAATAAAGAAACTTGTATGCAGTCGTTTCCACGGGTAGTCCCACTTTTCCAATTATATAATGCTGATTCTCCTGACACAGAACTCTTCTATTTACTCACCTGTGGTCACTGCTACATGACAAGAAACACTGGTTGCTTGCTCTAACTCAAAAACTAATACTGATTGTACTGAAACTTGCAAAACGTGTTAAGAAGAAGCTTGCCTTTTCACAAAACACTCATGATCGCTGATACTTTGAAAGGGAATGTGACATAACTGGCCACAAGTTTGACTCTAGTTTATACTTGGCTTGCTAATGTTTGTGTTGGGGAAATATAGTTTTTACGTAGAGGAATTCACTTTAAAATAAGGCTGCATCATATGTTCAGTTGCTATGATAATGTAATTATTATATAACATAGAATATTTTTGCCATAATCTCCAATGAGACAGTTGGACTTTTGCAAACTGTCAAATAACAACAATCCAAATAAATCAAAATGAACAGCGCTTTTGTTGTCGCAATTTTGAACATGCGGGTTTTTTTGCGCACATTTCTAATATCGCAGCCCTATTTTAAAAGCAAAGTCTATTTAATCATGTATAAAATGTCCTATGTATTATTTTTACATGCAGAAAAACAGACATCACTGTACAAGAAGAAACATCTCATACACAAATCCAGCATCCACAAGAAGCACGTTTAACACGTAACAGCACTGGATCATATGAGCACTTTATGATTGTTCAAATCATGACAATGTTTTCCCAAGTAAAGCTATGGCCTACATACTGATTCAACATCATAAACTGTGAGAAAACAGTGCTCTGTGTGTCATTTTTACCAGCTAAAATGTCAGAAAAATCATAAGAAATGTACATTGTTTATACAGGAATGAATACAAGCTTGAGGCACAAAGGCTATTTTACACAAATTATAAAATGCTTAAGAATCAGAGCAAGAAAAAAAAAAAAACATGACAAGAGAAAGTGATTGCATTATGTTCAGCTCAGTAGAACTTGAAGTCAGCTGGTCTCCCTGAAGACCACTCATGTCTCCAACACTCTGCATTCCCACGCTCGGAGGGGTCTTGAACGCATCTTCAAAAAAAGAAAAAAAAAAAACCTAATGCGTTTTCCAATCCGTGCTGGATCAGAGCCGGCCAAGTCCTCCTCAAGTTCGGAGACAGTCTTCCCAATCGTTGGAAAGAGTCCAAACCAAGAATGTGATGGTGAGTTTGACGGTGAAGTATAAAAACCTGCTTGTTTCACTCGGGCAGGTCTCACCACAATAAAGCAACAGTAGCCATCTTTACTTTATCTTGGTGTTTTCAGGCAACCAACCACGGGGTGACTCCCTTTGGATAAAAGAAAAGAACATGTCCAGTTTTGTAGCAGGAGTTTTTAAGGATGGATTGTTAACGTTTGTGCCATTGTTACAGAGCAGAAGCCAACCACACAGTGATGTATGTACAGACATATAAATATAGACTCACTACTAATCCATGCTTTTGGGGTGCAAGGTTCTGCTTGTCACAGTCAGTTTTTCTTTTATTTTTTTTAAGTCTTTTAGAAAATGGCAGATGTTGCAGTGACAAGACAACACTAAACACCTAGCGCTTGGGTGTTAGCAAGCTAGTCCAAGCCAGATCCCCCTTCCAGGCAAGTCTCCATCTTTAGGACCCTTTGTGAGAACGCTGGGCTGTGGTCCTCCAGTCCAGACCATGCAAAGACTGAAGAGACAAGTTCTGGCACCAGCCGGGGATCTGAGCTTCGACAAAATGATGTGAGTTCGGACACACTTTTGTTTTTACGTTTTTCCACGCAGCACGGCAATGTTAAGTAGAAGAAGCAGCTTGAGGACGATTATCTCTTTTTGTACACATAAACTTCTTTTCTCGTAGATATTTTTCCATTAAAAAACTATAAATACCATAAAAGAAGCATTATTTACAAACTCCATGCGATTCGGGTTAGAGTGATCACTGCAAAAAACACACACAAAAAAACATATGAACTTGAATTAATTTGTGAGTTATTATTTACACACTGCACACTGTCACACAATGTTATACTTGCTGTCAAAAATTATAATGAAACCCCATGCACACAAAATCCACACACAAAATAGCTTCAAGGGTTTAGGGAGGGTACACACGCCCCTACTAGTTTAAAAATGTATTACAATCACAACTGAACCTGGGTAGGGGTCAGTCCAGCTCAGTTCACCCAGTGAGTTAAACCCTAGTTTGTTAAATTTTGATGAAACTTGGTATATATGCAAATCATTAAAGAAAGAAGAGCAAGAAATTCAAATTTCAATTTGTTGGAGCATCGGTTTCCAAGATATTGCAATTAAATTTTTTCACTTTTTTGCGTGGTTGTCGAATTTCAAATTGCATTTACTCAGCAACTACTGGTCCGATATAAAAAAACAACAAGATATCTCTGGAAAGGGGAAATTGTAAGGATTTTTTGCATTTGAGTACTTTTGAGATGAATTACCTTTTGACCTATATTTTGACCTTGAAATTGACAATAAGGTAGCCAGGCTGGGACACCTAGTGCCTCTGCTCAATTCATTTCTCTCCAGTGACTAGGTCAGGAATCGGAATACACTAGACAGTTCGCAAAATCCCCGGAAGTGTGAGTCTGGGCACCAGCCAATCAGTGAATAGCCATAGATTCTGTGTTGGCAACGATTCCTGAGATCGAGGATTTAAAGCCGGAACAAAGAGAACGTTTAGTGAATTTTATCAAGGGGAAAGACGTTATTGCCCTTCTTCCTACGGGATTTGGGAAAAGCTTAATATACCAGTTAGCCCCGTTAGCGGTGCATTACACACGTAATGACCAAATAGCAGCGATTGGTTAAATGATACAAAGTACCAGCCTACCGTTGAGCAAACAAATTTACAAATTTACCTATACGTTGACTTACCCCCATCTTACGACATGTATATTCAGTGTATACAGCTGGCAATCAAAGGAACATTACAGTACCATCGTTTTGTCCCTGTCTCCCTGACACAGATGCATTTCTACACACTCAGTGAACAGATTTGGATTCCTTATGATTTCCCCTTTCCAGAGATACCTTGATTTTGATAACGAACCAGTAGTTGCTGAGTAAATACAATTTGAAATTCGGCAGCCATGCAAAAAAGTGAAAAAATGAAATTGCGATATCTCACAAACCGTTACTTCGATCATGCTAAAATTTCGATTTTGGCTTTCCTGGCTATGACTTACCCATACACTAATTTTCTTTGCAATTGGAGAATGTGAGGGTTCAAACTGCAATTTTTTTGGGTGAATTGAGGTGAAATGACCCGTAGCCAGTGTCTTAACCTGCAGATAATATATTCAAGATTTCTCATTCTCAGTATATGGACTGGTTATGCCTCATATGAAAGCTCAGAATCTCCAGAATTTCCTCACTAGCACTGGTTAGGTGCAGGTGCTGAGGTTCAGGTAGTAAGGATTCAGATCCAGGCGTCCTTTTAGTTTTGAACCAGCTGGTTTTAGATGTAGGATGTGGCAACCCAAATGAGACTCTTAATTGATTAATATTTGTACTTTGTATCTGTATATGTTTTTTTTTTTACATACCCTCCCTTTAATAGGATATCTGTGTATGTAAGTTATTACTAAACTACACAAACCAAGCAAATATTCATACCGTTCAACTATTTAGTCTCACCTTTTGCCAGCATCCAGGCATTGGTAATCCATCTGGGCCCTGTTTATGACAGAACAAAAAAGCAAAACAATTAGGACTGAACATTGAAAATACAGATCAACAGTGTAGCAACATTTATGCAGAGTGAATTTAAAGTAGCAGTTCTATTGTATTCACTAATTACAAAATAATTCTGAACTGGGAACAAAATACACACATTTCACAGTATTTATTTGTTTTTATTTGTACATATGCTGTAGATGTAATACATCCACTATAAAATAAAGAGCTTATCTATTTTACTTCATGCACTTCTCACTGCAAATTATACCACATGCAAAGCAATATGTAAACATACTATTATAATTATAGTGCCCAAACAGGTCCACTGAGAGAAAATAAACATACTGATGTAATATCTGGGCACTATAACACATGAAGACAGAGTATGTAGTGGTTGGAAGTAAAAGTAAAAATGTAACAGAAATCAGTGGGATACTTACCCAAAACACTACATTATTGTTTTTGTTTACATTATGAGATTTCTTACATTCCCCTGGTGGTCTGGCCCAATTGGTACATACATAGGAGGAAAGTTAACAGGAGGGTACTGCAGTGACTGTGGGATTGTGTTAGCGATAAGTCAAAGGGTTGTGAAGGAAGTAGATTAGACATTACAATTAAAATAGGTAAATTAATTCATTGTATAGAGTACAGATTAATGGAGAAATTAGAATTAACTTATTTTGAAGTTTATCTGAAGCACTTAGTAGAGGCAGCGCTATCAGGTACTTGACTACTATCAGGTGCTTTTAGTAACACAGTGGACAGTATGGTGTTAACATGCTTGCCATGCTTTTGTGATGTTTATCATTTACTGTTGCACGTCCATGGTGATTTGAAATGGGACACATGCATATAGTAGATGGGTGCAAAAAGGATCAGGAAAAACAGAAATACTGTACCAATTGGCACGGGGCATCCAGCCCGTCCAGACCTGGCTGCCCTGGTTCCCCCTTCTCACCCTTAAATCCCCGGAAACCCTGTTTGCAAAGATGACCTAGGAGTGTTACTGAGAGAGAGGTGGACCACCCTTAGCCTGTGTCCAGTCATTGGGACAGACACAGAGAGGTGAGAGGAGGAGCCGCCCTGCAGCTGCTGTTGCCATTCAAACCCAATTACATGGTAGCAAAAATAATACCATGTTTTTATGCCTTGATTGCAGTATTTGAACTAAAAAGAGCATTTTCATTCCAGGTTGCAAAGGCTTCTAGTGATTTTGTCCCCATAAAGACTGGCACAGCTTCACCACAGAGCGCTCATCCTGGTTAGAGAAAGGACCCAGCTACAGGAGGTGGTTTCCAGCTCGGACATACCAATGGGCAGGGTGCATCTAATCCTGGGGCACCCTGTTCTCCTTTCTCGCCCTTAGGCCCTTTTTTGCCCTTCTTTCCCTTCTCCCCCTGTGAATACAACGCATTGATCAGATTTACAAGAATGACTGTCAAAGGTAATGGGCTGCACTGCTATTAGAGAGGGAGAGATTAAAAAGGGAGAAGCTATAAGGCCAAAGTGGTCAATGTTAGGTAGGAGGGGTGCCACAGAGGACTGGGCGTACTCTAGCAGGGAGAGGACAGTCAAGGGGTCAAAGGGCAAAAGGATGAGAAAGAGTAGCAAGGAAAAAACCTCCACAAGCAGAGTTACATCATTAACACCCAACTGTATCCAGACTGTTGAGTTAGAGAAGATTTCACAACACACTGTTATAACATAAAGCATACTGTGTTGCTATTGCTTGCCAAACATATATTCACAGCATCCAATTACAAAATCAATTATGTTTTCAGTTATCATTTCAAACATGTTATAACAGGATGTGGTTTAAAAATTGCAGTAATATTGCATGCAGACTAGTTCCAACTCAATCTGACAACTATCTACATAATGAAATCATGTTAATTCTTATGTGTGTGGTCATTTGTGGTTAACCTATGCACAAACTAGCCACCATAATGTTAATAAATGTGTCTAAATTGTGTTGCAGTTGATCATTAGAGCAAAACCTACACAACTACACAAGTATTATTGGTTACAAAGACAAAGAAGTTCAGTCTACTCGTTGCACAAGGGAAAGTTCTAAACAAAAGCTGGAATTAAGACGTGAAATGTTAATGTGCATGCATGAAACAAAGAAAAAAACAGGTATGAGCCTGTTGTCAATGGACATGTTTGATTTCGAAGTATTTTGGATGTTTTACAATGAAATTTGAAATGAGGTGAAAATGTGGAAACAAAACTGATGTGTGAATTTTGTGAAGTATACAAATTCTTCTGGTTACACTACCCTCTAAAAATGTCAACAGTACTGTGCAAAATTAATACTTATGAAATTATCTGAGTAAAACAAAACTGTACATGTGAAAAATAATATTCTGGCCTCTAATCTTAGTCCAAGATTTTCCAATTCAGCCACAAGATTCATCTACGCAAGTCCATTTTTAGTGAGTAAAGTGGTGTCTTCAGTCCCAACATTCCTGGATTGAAACCCAACCCAAATAAACTATTTTTGCAAATATGTTGAGAACAAACAAACAAAAAAAAAAAAAAAAAAAATCGACTGTCTTGTTACATTCTTTCAGACTCTGCTAAATGTTTGCACAGTACTGTATGACTCTGTTGAACCTAATAGGAGGAGGTCTCCACGGCGACTGTCCATTGACATCAGTCCTCCGTAAGGCTTAAACACATTACAGAGATCTACATCTACCTTCTCTCCTCTTTCCCCCACGTCGCCTTTTTCTCCCCTTAATCCTGGAACCCCCTGTAAAAGTACAACTCACTTTATTACTGTCACTCTGAAATCAGCTCAGAAAAAAGGCACTGCTGTCCTAAAGCTCTACAGCACCAGCAGCACATGTAATGGTGATGTACAGTGAAGCTTATGGGCCGTTTAGCAAAGACTTACATCCTGGCCTGGCTGTCCGGCTGCCCCCTGTGAACCAAAGAAACAGTGTTGTAGAATACATCTTCACTAGAATGGTTTTAATGTAATGAAGCAGTGCTCTGTTGTACTATCCGGAATGGACTGTAAATCTGATTGCATAGTTCAACTCACAGGGAGTCCGTAAGGTCCCCTTGGTCCAGGCTCACCAGGGATACCTCGTTCACCCTATAACATAGATATAGATTACCATTTACATTTTAAGACTCATTATGACTTAAAAGAAAAGGGTATCTTACTCTGTCGCCCTTTGGCCCAGCTGGCCCGGCTGGACCCACCGGTCCATCCATACCCTGTAACAGTGACTCCATGAATAAAGAGCTTAAAGAAGCGTGTGTTATCAGATGATATGCGCCTGTGAGACGTCCACATGTGTCACACGTGTTTGCTATGGTGATGTTTAGCAGTACACAGAGCTGCTAGTGCACGTGCAGCGCTCACAGCTCACACAGTTAATGTATGAGTGTTTGTTAATGCTGAGTTAATAACACACAACACACAAGAGCTGTCCAATGCCTACCATAAAATGTACAGAGTATTTCTGCCCAGTGTGGCTCAGTGACTGAATATACATGTGTGTGTGTGACTTGAATATACATGTAGCTGATGTACAATTCATAATCAAGTGAAATAACTGTATGATGTTGGGTCATGAGGGGAGGGGGTGTAATGAGGGGGAGAAGAAACTGGTGATGCCTGGTGGTCACATGACACTCACCCGAATGCCGGGCTTGCCGTCCAAGCCGGAGGCTCCCTGTGTGGTTATGGAGGTATGAGTGACATGAACAAGGCGGGATTAGTACCAGATGAACACTGTTATTAGGACAGGTTGATGGCAGGGTTCACAACAACTCAATTACACAGAGTTACAGCGGTCAGTTCAGGCATATGTAAATGAGCACAAGAAAATGAACAAAGCATTACTGTAGCACTGCCACAGACACTGCTCAACGGCACAGTACACTTTGAGTTACTTCATTGACTGTTGTATTCAAATACTATGTGAGTGTGTACTTACAGGGAGACCCAGAGGTCCACGATCCCCTTTATGACCGGGCTCCCCGCGAGTACCCTTCAACCCATTCAACCCTGCCTCGCCCTAAAACACCACAGCAGCATTAGTGTATTAATCACTCGATGGGGCTGAGCAGAGAGGCGTGGCACTGGGAGGTTACACAAACCACATGCTTTACTCTCTGTGTTCCTACAGGACTTACCTTTGGACCGGGGAAGCCATGGGGACCCTGGAAATCACACACAGATAATTCAGTATTGATAAAGAACAAAATGGCTGTTTGTTCACTTTATTACTTTGCATCATTCATCCAAATAAATCCAAAAATATACGGGTATTTAATATTTTATTATCTATATCTTTATAACATCTTATTTTAACAGTCTTTTTGTGTTGCCTGGAGTACCCACCATTGGTCCAGGGGATCCGTGTGGTCCTGGTGGCCCTGGAGGTCCAATTATCTTAAAAATAATTAAATATGATAATACATTCAATAACATCAGTCAGTGCTAAGTGCATCTTATTGTAATGTTTATTTCTGACATTCAGACACTCACAGAAGGGCCCTGTGGCCCTGGCAGGCCTGCATCTCCTTTATCTCCTTTGACTCCGTTCACACCCTGAAACAAAAAGGTTTTTACGCTCACACAGGTTTAGTAAAATATCACAGGGTCAACGTTTGGGGCATTTTGAGACGACACTCACAGGGAGACCGGGCAAACCTGTTGCTCCCTTATCACCTGAAGCTCCTGGCATTCCCATGTCTCCTTTTGAACCTTTGTAGCCCTGAACAAAACAACCATCATTTATTTATTAAGGGAGTGAACTATTTTTCTGTATTCTAACCACAACTCTTATATTTCTTTGTTTCTTATTGTATCTCCCTGTTTCGGGATAATATATACCATGTACTTTATGTCACAACAGTTGTGAGCCCAGAACTTTAATTTACTGCAGGAATTCAGTTCCTGTAAAGGCTAATCTCTGGTATAATCCTTAAGGCTTTATAATGCAGCCAACAAATACATTCTAACTTTTAACCCCAATGATTTAATTTATTTACCGTTATTATGTTATTATGTATTATGTAAATGAATAAAAAGGTCAGATTTGAGTCACAGGCTAATATCCCACAGGTCAGTGGAAAAAAACTGTAGAGTAAACATTTTTTAAATTCTGTAGAAACTCACTCTTTCGCCATCAAGTCCAGGAAGGCCAGGCATACCACGGTCACCCTGAGAACAATAGTTATTCATTACAGCGCTGAAATGTGATGGGACACAGTAGTGGTGGATCAACTCTGCTTATGTAATAATGGTGATAACTTTTACCTTCATGCCTTGTGGCCCCATTACTCCAGGAGGTCCAGGAGGACCCTGCCAATGACAATACAAACTTTGATTACAAATACACAAACATTTTATAAAACAAACCATTAACCAATGTGCACAAAGGTTAGCAAATAGTTATACTGTTAAACATGAAGCTCAACACATGCCAAGTCACAATATATAAGCTGCAACAAAATGACGATTAAAAAAGCACTTGGATTTTGTCTCATTTAAATGTTTTTTAAGTGTTTTCAATTTCAAGTGTGTTTCAAAAGGTATCATTAATGTGCACACGTTCAAAGCTAGGTTATCCAACATCTAACCAGGAGCGGCAGCCTGCAGCATGGGCCAAACCGAAGTCACATCATTCCTATCACATGTACTGCTGGGCGTGGAAGGACAAGGCAACAGTTTGAGGTTGGGCCCATGCAATATCACTGACAATGAGGAACGACTGCTTCACATGACATAACACACAGAGGAGTTTATTACCGTCACTGTAATAGTGGTTATCTTCTGCACAGCGCCAAAGGTGTGGAAGCGAAAACAGGAGAGATAAGAAACTTTGGTGTCAGCTTTTCTCACAACAAGGATTTCACGTATTGAATTTTGTATATTTATTTATTCATTTTGGAGATTGAATCCATACTTGTAATGCACTAATTATTACTATTTTTACATTTACTAAAGGTAATTAAGTAACAAACCTGCAACGCCTCCTGGATGTTTCCATTATAATCAATGATTTCGGTGGCGCCCGGATCTCCCTTTTGACCAGGAGGACCCTTTAAAACACAAAATAAAGATGATATAACACTGTAAATAGATTGAATGATTTCCAGTGTTATGTTGTTATAATACAGTACCAACATCAAAAATACTGTAATGTCATTAGGTTCTGCATGCTGCCCCCTTGTGGTCATTACCGTTTACTTTTTAAGTTGTTAACGCTCTAAACTTACCTTAGGTCCAATTATTCCAATGTCACCTTTATCTCCAGTTTCACCCTAAAACACAGAAAATGTACTTAATTTACCATTTCTCATTGCAGCTAATTTTTTATGGAGCGAAAATACTGTTACTAGTTTTATTAGTATTAGTAGTAACAGCAGTAGTTGAAATACTGTGCCATAGTAGATTTTTTTTTTTTTTTTTTTAGAAACTTCATGTTTTTTTCTAATAAGACAAATTGTAAAACACTAAATAGCTTATGTACACAACATGTTTTGGCTTGCAGAAGACGGAAGTGCTACCTACATGCTACAACAGATAAACAACCTATTTGGTTTTTTTACAATTTGTCTTAGAAGAAAACACAAAGTTTTGTTTTATATAATAAGAAGACAGAATGAATTTTCTCAGTATAATAGAAAAACCTTATTTGTATTTGTATTACTGGAGTGATTATTTTGTTAACTGTGGACACTTGGGTTTGATTAAAAAGAAAGAAACAAGGAAATGAGGGACAGATAACAGACAATAATAACTGAGTTTTTATGTTTTAACTTACTTGTACTTGTCAATATATTCTTTAAGCATGGACAAAAAGTATCCTCACCTTTGACCCCTTAGGACCAGGCATACCAGATTCTCCTTGCACACCCTGCCAAACACAAGAGGGATAACATGACATAACATTTGGTATATGGCTATAAAATGAGCCATAAAACCTATGATTCAGACAGTGTGTATGCTAAATCAGTTCCTGACAAATGAAATGTGTTAACCCACTTTTCTTATCTCACTCTTATTTTACAACTGGCTTTTAATTTGACAGATCTGACACACAATAGTCTGATTGTTTATTCAGACAGACCAGTTGATAAAGAAGGAGTGAGTCAACTGGGATTTCTTAGACGACGAAATCCAGATCTTTGGCCGGTCCTTGTTTAGACTATAGACCCAAAGCTACCTGCTGGATCGGGGCCAGATGTAAACAGTCGTGAATGCAGCCTCGATTGGTTTATTCTACTCAAAACTCTGGGGAGAGACGGGAACTTTTTAAACCATAATGATTTTGCCTGCTTTTGTTAACACAGCTGGATAGTGAATAAATGACTACTGTGGGAATTATCCTTTCCAGTATGTTTGCAGATCTATGGAGTGCAGTTATGGCTAAAAAGCACTAGAGGGCAGCAAAGACCAAAGGGTAAGATACAGAGGGATGAACACGACAGCCTGTTTTTTAAGATAAATAATCTTTTTTGTTTGTTTTTGTAAATAGTCTTGACTTTATTCAGGAGTACCTAATGCTAAAATAAAACAAAACAATACAATAAAATAACAAAACTCACTACTGTGCAGATTCTAAAAACTAAATTCCATAGTTCTGATCTAATCTAGATTTATGTGTGGACTGACAAATATATTTTCCATTTACTAGTATAGATGGACAGATATTTGAAACATTGATAATATAGTGAAGTTTTGAAAATATGCAAAATGTTTATATGGAGTATATTGTTTATGATTAAATATCCAACAAAAAGTGGATAAAAAATGTTATGTTATAAAGCAGAGGTATTTAAACTATGTCCTGATTCATCAGCCGGTTTCACTTTGTAGAAACCGTATGACCTCGCAGCATTAGGATTCGTTCACTTGACAATAGGCGGGTACTTTTTTTTATTTAACAAATCGCTGCTATTTGGTCGTGACTTATTTACTGCGCCACTAACGGGGCTAACTGGTATATTAAGCTTTTCCCAAATCCCGTAGAAAGAAGGGTAATAACGTCTTTCACCAAACATTCTCTTTGTTCCAGCTTTAAATCCTCAATCTCGGGAATCGTTGCCAACACAGAATGTATGGCTCTTTGCTGACTGGCTGGTGCCCGAACTCGCACTTCTAGGGTTTTTGCGAACCACCTAGTGTATTCTGATTCCTGACTTAATTGGTGGAGAGAAATGAAATTGAGCGGAGACACTAGGTGGCGCCAGACTGTGGCTCTCAGACCAATTTTTGTTGGTCCTCACCCTGCTAAATTGGCCCAAGTGATCATAGGCAGACGTTTTTACTACAAACTGAAGTAATTCTACCTCTATTATTGCAGTAGCATCACCTTGCATTGTGATACAGACCTAAAACTACTGTTCCAAGTACAGTGGGTCTGTCAAAGCTGTGTAAAGTTCACCAATGTGAAATGACTTGTTATACTTCCCAATAACATCACGATATTCATTTTTGACTTAATCACCCACAAGCTTTCCTGAATTATTCAAACACTTACTCAGTATATTTGCCATATAACCTCTATATGAACCTACCTTGGGTCCCATCAGTCCGGTTTCTCCACGTTCTCCTTTTCCTGGAAGGCCCCGCTCGCCTCTCTCTCCCTGTGAGAAAACGCACATTAGATTTGGGAAAGTCACTGAAATATTACAGAGAGCTGCTGAGTATGCAAATACAGACTCAAAAATCATGTCAAGTGCACCAGTCAATCACATCTGTTTTTTATAGATGTTGAAATACACTTATTCTGAGTCAGTGCTTGTGGTTTCAGGTTTCTTACAGCAAATTGTCTGTCTTGCTGAAGGTGCTTAATATTGGCTTTAGATTTTAAGTAAGATACCCTTCCAAAAACAACTCTAGCATGAAGAGTATTTGAAGATCCCCTTAGATTGTAATTGCGAAGATCATTACAATTAATTGACATATTGCATTTAGCTGAAGGGAAGTAAATAGGCCAAAAGAGGGCGCTGTGGTACAATTGCAGGCTCAGACTCAGCAGTGACTTTTAAAACTTAAAACAGGCATTTTCTTTTTTCAACATAGATAGATATCTTTATTTGTGTGCTTCGTTATGCTGAGAGGGTTGAGATTTGAGATATAAAACACCTTGACTTTCTGCCTACTCTTGAAACTGCATTTCCATTTTGCCACTCAGGTACAATTTGAAAAGCGTGTAGAACAAAGACAACGCCATTAAAAGTCCACTACGCAACCTTTTCCAGTGGAGGGTCAGCCATGTACTTGTCTCCAAGGAGATATTATTGCTTTGTGCATGGAGACAAGCTACAGGTCAGATCTGTGGAGGAGATCCATTTACACTTTTAGGCTTTTTTTTAGAAATGAAAACACCTAGAACTAAATCGATGCAAGACTGATAATGAATATAGCATAACATTGATAACCTACTGCATTCCAAATAGGAAGTGAGCATGGGCAAGCTTCCAGCTCCATCCACTCTGGCTCCAATTGACTTTACCTTGAAAAATTCACTCCTCTTTCTGTAACTGCTGAAGGGAGCCTCGTCATTTTGGTCTTAAAATGTTCGTATTAACCCACTCTACATGATCCTGGTGTTTTTATTTTGCTATTTTGTACATAAATAAATTCCTATTTCTTATATGCAACTCGGCTCCAAAAGATGTGACATATTCTTTGTCCACTTCTTTATATAGTGTATGTATGTGCCCTTCACCAGAAAAGTTACATAGTTTAACATTAGATGCTAGAAATAGCCATAAAAAAATCAAACAAAAACACTGAACATTACACAAGTTTGACTGAAAGCACTGACCTTAGTTCCCGGTAGTCCTGGCAATCCTGGCTCTCCCTGTGGACCCAGAAACCCGGGTTCTCCCTGGAAATCATCACAGCAGATATTAGTCACTTTCCCACAGTCCCACTCATCTGAGCGCTAGCACTTCATCCAACTTGGTGCTAATGAGCTGGAGACACAAGATGCTTGGCCAACAGATCTGACAGAAGCATGCACACGGACACTGGGAACTACATGCACACAAATGGACATAGGTTATCAGCGTTAATTTCATCCTTTATTTAATCTGGATTGAAAAGGTACAGCGGTCAATAATATACAATTATTTAAACCGGTAAATACGTGGGTTTACATCTTATATCAGCGATCCTCAATTGTTTATGTATATATGAAAACGTTTCAAATAAAAAGGACCTCCCCTCCATACAAGTAACTGGCTAAACTAGATCTATAAATGTAAAAAATTGCGAAATTAATCAAGTTTGAAACAGGAATAAAGCATACCCAGACTAAACCAAATCTACCACGTACTAAACCAGGTCAGACTCAGCGTTAAAATATGAAAACCACTGATTTCAACACTTTACAGGTGGCACTTGAATGATGAAAAATGTGGACTGTTGCCATTTAACAATTTAAAACTATGAATATTATTTAAAAAGCTCCTCTAAATGTTGCATATAACAGGAAGCGTACACCTATAAATACCCTAAGTGGGATTAATAAACACGATTAAACACACAATAAATGACTAAACACCAAAATATGCACATGTGAATGAATTGTAAGCATTGTTAGTGAATGTAGTTAGTCAAATGGTTCAGCCCATGAGTGAAAACAGGACTATATAAAGTAGAATGAAAGTGTGTTTTTTTTTACAGTGCCAGCACAAAGAGTGGAAAAACACATGCAAAACAGCAACAAGCATCTTCCCATTGAGCCATTTCTGCATTCCTCACAGAGCAGTGAAGCGGCTAGTTCTAAGGTCCACTGACTTGATAGCTATTCTAGATGGCAGAATATTATTAATATATAACAGGCCTTTTCAATTTCACCATCTCTTATTGGGTTTATAAGACACTGTAAAAGTCAACCTTCTGAATAAAGAGACTATAAAAACCCAGCTTGTGTGAGTAAATATCAAATGTCATTCCAGGAGCGCTCACAGATACAACAAACAATTTTCCATATCCATTATTCAACATTGTTCACAGATTTGTTCTATCCAGACCAGTGAGTCTCAAACCAAGGATCTCATCAGAAAATATTAAGCTTTTCAACTGCCACATGTAACTACTCAACTACAACTGTGACAACTTAACTATTCTATCATTATGAATATTGTATTTCTAAACATGTAAACACGCAAAATATATCCCTCTTTTCCAAATGCAGCCTATTCAGTCCAAACTAAACTAAGACTCAATGTTAAAAGGACATCTGTAGACCGGTCATGATAATTAATATATTGATTTATAGTGCAACATACGAAATCTATTTATATCTATTAATAATCTAATTTATCTTGTGTTAAATTTCTTTGTAATAATGGGCAGATATTTGCTATTTTTATGTAATAAGGTAAGATTTTTTGGTGTAGACTGTAGAATAATAATTATTTGTTGAAGTGTATTTCTTTTAATCATTCAGCATATTGAAAAATTGGTTTACTGGTGTTATTTTTCCGTGTGTCAGTGGCATAAAATAGTTTCAATATGATCGTTTATCACAATATTTCTCTGTAGCAATATATCGTGTTTCAAAAGTTGTTATAATGACAGGCTTACTCATCTGAAGTGCTTGGACTATCCAGGGACTAAACCAGAATTGAACCAAACCTAAATCAGGTTTAATAATACAAAACCAAACAAGTACTGACTGGAGAGAACTAAAGTTAATCTAAAACAGTACTAAACCAAGGCAGAACTAAAATAAAGGGGCTCAAATATCAGTTGAGTATAAGTTTCCAGAAACATCACAATCATAAAAAACACATTGCTTTAAAAAACACCTTCATAATAGTAATCATATGTTTTTTCCCATAGGACCTACTAGAACACAACCAAAAGTAACCACTATGCAGTTGTATCACAAAAACTTCACATACTCTGCACCTGTCAATAAGCCGTGGTACAATGAAAGCAAATGGACATGGGGACAACACTGTGGAGCAACTGAGGACAGAAACAGCAAAGCATTTACCTTTATTCCCGGGAGTCCAGGCAGCCCTGGAAGTCCTGGCTCTCCCTACACAGGAAGAGTGGCACACGTTACCGCCGAGCCAGGCCAAGCTGAGGCAGGCCCCACGTGGAGGCCCCAGGTGAAAGGCTTTCTTTTACGCATCTACAAGCTCTAATTCAAAAACGTTAATCTACAAGCTCTACATGTAGCCAGCTAATGTAAATGGGAAAGCGGCCTGGAGTCTGCTGACACCTTGAGGCACAAGAAGGTACTGCACATGCACGTTCAGAGCATCTCATCTCATGCAGGCTTGATAGTGTGATTAGTGCTGGTTATGACACTCCGTCACAAGTGCAACTGTATTCTCCAATTCTACTGCTTTGGGTGAAGAAACAAGTTTGGCCTATGACAGTGGCTTTAAACAACCCTAAAGGGAAAATTAATACCATGATACTAGATACTGATTATACTAATACTATACTAATCGATAATAAAACCAGTATTGAAATTATAGTGATATGATGTCATGGTAAAGGGCCTGGAGTTGTCTGCATAGGACATGTACATTATAGAATGCTGTATAATGTTTTTTCATTATCGTATCAGAATTGGTATCCGGCTTTTGCCTTGTTTTCAAGATGAGGTTTGAAACTTTAGTATAGTGACAATATAAATAACAATCTAACACATAACCCTATAACCTTGGTGTTTGAATTCTAACAAATCAAATAGAGAAATAGAGAAAGAAAGTGCATAAATGACACCATGGTGCTGTAAATTAAAAGTAGTAAATAGTTTTTAGTATCATTATAAGCCAAGAGGGGCTGTTCCTCCTTCACCAAGGTCAATGGGCTGTCAGCTTGGCTCTAGTTAACATGTGAGTTTGAGTAACACAGAGGCATTCTGAGGGGCTGTGGAAAAACCAAGAGGTCAGGTCCCATGCGAGGCCTCTGGGAGTCTTTGAAAACACCATTTCTGACTGGAGATAATTTAACGCTCTATTAATACTATTGTATTTATGGCATATGAAAAGAAAAGATTAGTGCCGTGTGGGAATGATCAACTGCAACTGCACTCTGGGGACCGCAGACAGAGCTGTAAATTTCCAGAGTGCCTTGTGAAAGAAGTGTCAAACTTTGAAATAAATGTCTCTTTTTGCAACATGCTAAGGCTAACCAAATGCTAACTAAAGGGCAACAACTCCATTTGTCAGCTTGTTCCTGTTGTCAATCTGTGACATGTTTTAGGTCAGATGCCCTTCCCTATGCATTCCCCCAGGCTAGAGAGTGACAAAATACACTGACTAGTACCCCGTCTTGTTAGAACCAAGGTGCACATCTAACTAATCAAAAAATAGATGTTATTGCTTTGCCTGGAATGTTACACAGTGTGGTGTGTCTGTCTCCATGGAAATGATTAAGGATGAATGTTTTTTAAGGTATTCAAGAAATGGAAGATGCCACATTGTGCAACATTCTATTTAGGCAAAGCAATAACATGTCTATGGAGACCACTCATAAGAAAAGTTACACAGTGCCCTTTTAATGTTTGAAGGAAAATGTGGAGTTAACATGGGCTATAACAACTGGCTTTGCAATGTTTAAAATGAAATGCCACAATAGAGGTTGCTTTTATTTTGAAAGGGTCTTATTGATAGCTGCCTTTTATATAATATTATCTTCATTTTGTCTTGGAAAAACATGTCAAACTTAATCAAAACAGACTTGAAGACAAGCTAATGAAAACACAATCTTGACTGAGGAACTGGACAACCTGGTGCTTTGAGAATGTGACAACCGTGGGCCAAAACAAAAATGCATAAAATTGTTTTTATCTGTGAAGATTTTAACAAAGACACAAGGAACATAAGACTGAATCCAAACACTTGTCAGGCCAAAGTAAATGTAAAAGGAGTCAGAACATTGTGATGGACCAAAGTTCAAACTCTGGCCTCCCATGGACTGAGCTGCAGTTACACTATAGGCACAAGCTCAGATATGACAAGAATGTGCTTTCCCCAATGTGAACTAAACATACATTTCTGCTTAAAAATGTCCAAATAATTGATAATTTCCATTGATTCCCATAAGTAGAACAGAGCTACTCTTTGGCAGTGGTGTGATTTATTGCCTCACTCACAATCAATTAAGAAAACACTATTTAATCCAAAATATTCAGGTGCACTGTAAAAACACCCTGCTATTCTAATATTCTTATTAAATTTCCAGACCAGTTTTAATTGGAGAAAATTGATGTTATTCCAACCAAATAAATTGCCACCAGCCAATAAACTGTACAATGAATACAGTTACAAGCCGTATGGAAATTCAGTAGGTTTCCATGGATACTGAGCTAATAGTATTATTCATCAAAGTTTGGCCATTTTTAAATGTCATGTCATGCAGAAATTTGTGCTTATTCTTTAAAGTGTAACTTTTTGGTTGGGGGTCCATCATCTGCTTGTTTCTATGTCATTAATCTGAATTGAATGTTCCACAGTATGACATTAAAGAACTCTACATTATATTTATTCAAATTATTCTCCAAAGATCTGGCCTCTAACTTGGTCTAGTTTGGAAGATAGAAAGGTTTAATACCATACTTTGAAACATTCCAGACAAAGCAATAACATCTCCATGGAGAATCTCGAACCAGAAAAGTTACAATGCACCTTTATATTCTTCATTGTCTTTCTTTATTCTAAATCAGTTTAAATTTCAGTGCAAGGAAAATTACTTATTTAAGTAAGAGGCTGGTGGATTTGAGTTTCCAGTATTAATAAATGTTCAATAATAAAGCTTTTCTTACCTTGGTTCCACTTCGTCCAGGTTCACCAGGTTCACCCTAAAAACAAAACACAAATTTGTCATCTGCTACTTTCGTTAAGCCCACATGGACAAAGTCCATTACATATAATATAGGATAATATATAGTGTATTTTACAGCACTAACCTTGATGCCTGCAGCAGAGGAACCAGCATCTCCCTGTGCACAGAAATGGACAAATAACAGGAGTTCAAACAAAACCAAAGGAAGCAATTTTGTGTGGACAAAGCAAAACACAATGAGGCTTTGGCTGCTTTGGCTAGACTTCTGATATCCACTTATGCATTTTTCAGCTATTGTACTTTTTAGTCCTCTTATGACTGGGTAAGACAGCATGATTTTTATATCTGTAGCATCTTATTTTTGCACTTTTTATACTAATTCATACATGATAACCAGAACAAAGGAGAAATTAAGTTCCGTCAACTGAAGAAATGAACTGAAGAAGCAGCTTGGATGAGATGCAAAACGAATTCAATCAAAAAACATTTGTCCAGTTGGCAGAATTGAATTTCTCCTTTGCTATGGATCCTACCAGGACCACTGAGGGATTACACTAACATCGTAGCCATGTTATTTCCTTTAGTACAACTTTACTACAAAATTCTGGCTTGTAGTTATAAAAAGCACCAGTAGATGTCACCAGGCCTGTATCTGCTTGTACAGTTCACCAAACAAAGTAACCACAATCCACTTTCTAATCAAACAAACCATAACTCCAGGTACTGATGATTATACAACATTATTAAGCTTCCAGTTCAAAAACATCAACATTGCACTGTGTAACTTTTCTAGTAAAGGGTCTGCCAATTGCTTGTCTTTGTGGGGAAGTGTTTGTTTTGCCTGGAATGTTCCACAGTACAGTATTACACTTGTCTGTTTTGCATTTATTCCATTACAGATGATTTTACTGATGAAAAACAAGCATTCTTACGATACACTGTGACACCTCTCCATAGATCTGACCTGTATCTTAAGTGCATTTAAGTGAGTCTGCCACCTGCTTGTCTTTGTGGAGCTGTGTCATTAAACATACTGTATTTATCTCCATGGAAACAAGCGTGTGACCCCACCAGGCCATGTACAAGGCTGATCTCACAGTAGACGAGGAGATTATTTTTTCAAGACATAATTGAGCATTCAAGCATAGAATAATATAGAATAATAAATAGCCATACTGTGGATTCCAACAAAATCAGACTCTCCAGGAGAAAAGTTACATAGTGCACTTTTAATGCATAGTGATTTGTCCAGAAATCCAGATCCCAGACTTTTCTTATGTATTATTCTAATGTACTGAAAGCCATAATGGGGCCAGTGTGTATAATTATCTAAAATGGGCGGTTAGCTGGTGGGAAAAGGGTCTCAAGCTCTGGTGCAGGGCTGCGGTTTCCCTGCACAAGTCTGAGCTTTATGGTAGTCATTACGATGCATTGCCCACTATAGGCATGTTTGTAATTGACGCTTTCTTTCTGGCAGTAAACCGTGTTACTGTTTACAGCTAAGGCTCGCAGCACCGCCACATCTCCCATATCATCAAAGATCTTATACGGTGTTTTAACAAGTTTGTATACATTTTATAGAAGGCTGTAATATCCGGGTTTTAGGTTTGTGTTAGTTTCCCATGATCGTTCATTTGTGATGCTTTTGGTTAAATATTTGTTGTCTTGTGGTGCTTGCATTGTGTGGTTTGAAATGGTAATGGTAAGTTAAGTAATGTAAATGATTTTGTTTTTATATTTCCTAAATCTAAAACAACACCAACAACAAAAAACATATGAGAATCGAAGAAAACACTGAATAATAGTTGTACAATTTATTAAGAGAAGTGTACGGGGCTACAGTAGCAAAGAGGATGGGCTTACTTAAACTGCTGATAATTTGATATAATGTTATTTTATATCTAAAAACACAATGATGTAAAGCAGTGTTTCCCAAAAATTTTTTCTAGGGACCCCTATTTTAAAAGTCACAAACCTTTGTGACCCAAGTCAATAGACATTATTTATAAATCACAAAATAAAGGTGGATTTGACCATTATTGAATATTAATGAGGATATTTTATTGTTGACTGAGTGATCGTGTCTCTGACCAATTAGTATTACTCAACTTTTAAACAATGAAAAACAGTAATTGAAACAGCAATAAAATGATCCATAAGTCGCTTATTTGGACATTAAATGTAGCCCATTCCTTTTTCTTTTCAACATTCAATTGAACCAGCAATATTGGGGCAAAATAGTCAATAAAATAATGACAAAAAGATTAGAAATTATACAAAACATGTCTTAACATTTACCTACATGCAGATTCATGATAAGGCGACCCCAAAAAAATCTCTTGCGACCCACCTGAGGGTCGTGACCCAGTTTTTGGGAAGCAATGATGTAAAGCAACCTACATGAGCTACATAGATTAGACCAAACGTAATAGAAAATGTAACTTTTAATAATAAAAAAAAATCAGTGATAGGTTGACAAACTTTAAAACTTTAAAAAGGTCCCATAAAAATAAGATTGACTGCAGTCATCGTAGAATATTGAGTTAAAATTGGATTATACCTGCAAAGTAAGAACGCCACATCTGTACTGGATTATTACATCGAAAACATGTGATTTCACCTCAAGCTCTTCTTATGAAATAATGGCCACTAAGTCTTATTTATTAAAAAGTCCAGTTTGTAAGTTGTAGATTCAAAGATTTCTTATTAAACAGAGCAATAAAGTTCAGTCATTACAGTTAAGGTTAATGACTATAAACTTCTCACTATTAGCAGGGTCACGCTTTAGGCTACAGTAATTATTGTATTAAATGTATTAAAGAATGGTAAAGCAATAAGTTCTGCACTTTTAGAAACTTTTGCTTTTGCCCTATGCACTCATAAAACTTACTTATTTTCTGAATAATGACTAATGCACTTTTCTGGTGGAGGTCCTGCCGCTGTCTCGTCTCCATGGATGTCAGAATGTTCCACAGTATGCTGTACTCTATATCAGTGTTTCCCAAACTTTTTTCTGGGGACCCATATTTTAAAAGTCACAAACTTTTGTGACCCAATTCAATAGTCAATAGACAATATTATTCGTAAATCACAAAATAAAGGTGGATTTGACCATTATTTAACATGAATGAGGATATTTGATTGTTTATTTTACAGCATTTCAGCATTCTGTTTCTGTGATTTGTCTTCATTTTTGTGAGCACAGACAATCCCAATTCACACAATAAGTAGTAGTGAAAGGAATAAGCATATAAACTTGCCCTACCGAGGACCTACATGCAGATCGTAACAAGGCAACCCCCCAAAAAATCTCTTGCGACCCAGTCTTTAGGAAACAATGCTCTATGTAAGCTCATATTTTGGATTTATTAAAAAAAACAAAACAAAAACGCTGATTATTACTATGTGGTGCCTCTCCACAGATCTGACCTGTAACTTGACCTAATGCCATTTCCATGGAGAAAGCTAAGTTTAATAATGCTATACAGCGGGAGAATACTGGAAACGCAATAACATCTCCATGGAGACAAGCAGATGGCACACCCTCCACCAGAAATGTTACTTAGTGCACCTTTAAGCAAACTCCTCTGCTGTAATCCATGTCGAGCAGTAGATTTTCAGCCTGATGCAACTGACAAGGAGAACTAAGTCAGATTCTGGCTTTGTTTTAATCTTTCCCAAATGACACGCGGTGCGGTGGAAAAAGCGGTGAGTTTGGGAGGTGAGCCGAGGTGTGGCCCTTAACGCTCGAGCCAATTATCGCCATGAGAATCCGGTCTGAGATCTAACCGCAGCCCAACGGGGTTCACTCCTACTTCATTACAGTCACCCACAAACATCAACGGCTATTGGCACTGGGGATAATGATACGACAATGTGTGCAACTATAGGGGCGTTTTACAGCTGTTTGGACTAATAGGAGCCCTGCAATGTCATGTTATGGTCATTACAAGAGCTGTTGCCTCATTATAAACTGTACTCTTTGCACTATTCTTTGTTCATCATTTTTATCAATATATTATTTTCAAATGGTCAAAAGTAAAACACTGAATATACTTTTTTTGTTGTTCTTTTTTTAAATACCAAATTAATTTTATTTTCTCGAGTGTTATTTTAGGACATTTTCAGCTGACGTGAGCTGATTTGTGCTCTTAAACAAATCTCTCTCACATAAAACCACAGTCACAAGTTAGATAGGATTTTTACAGTCGCTCACGCTCATCATTTTTGTTGAAAATCAAACTCAACAGAACCATGAACGCTGATCACAGGTTCCTGAAAATGTGTTGTTTAAATCCATTTTCTACTTTATTTTCAGGCGATCTTAAATCTTTTTTTGACAATGTGTGCTAATGTGTGCATTGTATCACCATGGTAACTCCTAAACATCCCACCATTAGAGATACACGCAGAACACCCCCAGAGTGATGTCACTGCACAGTTTCAGTATTATCTCCAGTAACTCACAGTAGTTTTACTTTATACCACTACACCCACACTTTAATCTAAAACTTTTAAGCAACTTTCATGGCGCACTATTGTTTTGATTTACAATAGTAACATGAGCGATGGAAGCAGCTGAGTATTTTTATTGACCTCTGAAAATATATGCAAGGCAGCACAAGCTATCACTGGCTCCTTAAGCCAGGAAACAGCAGTGCCAGCATCTGAAATAGAGCCAGTTCACAAAAGCTTGGACCGGATCTTTAGTCTCCAAAATTATACGAACTGCTGTGCCACGCCAGTCCACAGCCAAACGCCTCGAAGTGCCTAAAAACTATTCAACATTTGAGTGAGTTTCAGTTTGCTTTACTAGCTACTGTGTTATATCCAAGACAGGTCACAGCAATAAGGGAGGAGAATTGTTTGAAGAGGGACTTGATGATTAAACATTGATGTTACAAATTGATGAAGGCAAGAGGAATAAATTAAAATGTAAAATCATACCTGTCCTACAAAATAACTTGCTATCTGTGAATGAGTCCTAATTGGCCATAGGTGCAGATTGGCAGCCACACTACTACCAGTCCTTCCCAGGGCAGCTGTGGCTACAGAAGAAGCTTACCACAGGGTTTGGAGTTAATAAATAATTAATGATTAATTGTAAATCTTTATGCGTCAGGAAAACTGATCTACAACAACTGCATGATTACTATTTAAAGGGCCCATATTATTCTATTTTCTGATCTATGTCATAATGATGGCATTTAAAAGACACTTAAAATCCAGTGCAATGTGTATCAATGAAAAAGGAAACTAAATCGTTGTGCATAAAAGTGAAGATTTCTGTTCACATTTGATTAATAATTGTGACTGAACTGAAATGTACTGATTTGAAATGTTTTAAAAGTAACAATCAGTGTTGATGTTTTGTCTGGAAAAGGGAGCAGATAACATACGATGACTCTTCTTTCTGCTCCTTTTCATTCATTTCTTGTATATTTAATGTTGTGACACTGTTAACCCTCTCCAGGCAGGTGTTGCAGATTTGCAACAGCTAAATGCCAATTACATACTTACTCCAAATCCAGATTTTATGAGCTTTTTTTACTCAGAAGCCTTTTTTTCCCATCCATGCTGATAAACGTGGACGATGCAGACTGTGCAAGAATGGCTACACACAAATGGCCTGCCAGAAGTGCAAAATACTTTTGTTGTTTACAAAGGATAAAAATTGTTTCTTGGAGCACCACAAGAAAAAGTGATGTTGTTCTGTCACTGTAAAGCACTGTTACACTGTGCTTTTTGTTTTCATTGTTATGAAAAGTGATATACACATAAAGTTAGCGTTAATTTTATATCATTATATCATTTTCAGTCTTCAGTGTTAATTTACCACAAAGGACCAATGTTGCAAATCTGAAACATCCCAGAACGCACTGGATGTGAAGGTCTCTCTCAAAAAAAGTCAGGATTGTATATTACTGCCCCATATGATCATTTCCCCCAAATATCAGATTTTTTCCTGTTACTAAAATTTAATTTGAGCCTGAGAGGGTTAATGTCTTTTTATACTTTATGAATGAAATAAATAAACAAATAAATAAATAAATAAACACGATTAGGGATGTAACAATATCCACGATATTATTGTGAGAACTTTGACGATACGATATCACGATATTTTGGTTATTGGTACATCCCTTATATTTAGGGTTCTTCTGTTCTTCTCTCAAACAGAAAGCATTCGGTGATAATACAGGAAGTGCTCCACTGTGTTTTTAAACTCCATATTCCTTCATGAGAATCATTTGGACAATTTCAGCCCTGGAATTGCTAATCTCTACTGAACAAAAGGTAACTGTTAACTTGAAAACTGCAGCTTTATGACAGATGGAACAGAATATTTTGACCTTTGAAAATGTAGACAGACTAATAATTACTCCAACATAGGTGAATGAAACAAAACACAACTCCAGGTGTGTTTTTGATGAGGTAACAGCTAGGGGTGTACAAAAATATCGAAATTACTGATATATCGTATTGTTTAACGTGATGATACAGTATGGATATCATGGGTTGCTGTATCGATATATCGCCAAGAGTATTTTTTGGTATATTTTACTAAATGGTTTTGTTACAGCGCTACAGTTTTGTTGCTCGTTTATGCAACAAATTTGATATTTTCACTGTTCTGATGATTAAAATGTTTGTGTTTCATATGAACTTTGCACAAGAAGCAGTTTAACAAAGACATTTAGTATCACAGCCATGATTTAGCCTTTATCTTTTATTGAACTGTATTGGTGTGAAATGTACCGTATCAAACCGAAAGTGCACTGTATCGAAGTATGTATCATATCTGCAACTTCTTAATGATACCCAGCCCTAGTAACAGCATTATAACATGTATTAAAGCTCAATTAAAGACTCAATTTTGTGTAATAAGGACACTGTACATATGTATGATTTAAAATTGCATAGGTCTGTAGAGTACCTCTTTCACTACAATACTTGTGTTACATTTGAACAGTCCTGTATTCTCATTCACTCCTGTGGGTTCCAAAGACCTTGACTCTTATGGACGTCACTCCACAGCCCCCCCTGCAGTCTAAACAGTCTCTTTTTGTATTATGGCGTGTCTCATTCACAGCCTCACCTCTCACCTCTCCCTCCTCTGCTCCCCCCTCTGGTGCGTGCTGCGTATTGTTAACTTTGGCATCTCCAGCCCCAAAGATTAAAGATGTCTTCTCACCCTGTCTTTTTCCCCTCTATGCTCTCCGGTTTCCTCTCTGTCCAGCATATGTCCACACAGCAGTCCCGTACAGACTCCGCTCGGCTCCTGGCGCATACATTTCTTAACATAGACCCTATCTGTTAAAGTCCTTTGGGTTGGGTATTAGGTTATGTCTTTACGGGAAGCCAATTGTTCCGGCCATATGCTAAGAAACAGGCACTTCTCTGCGTTTTCCTGACACAGACAAATACAATGAGGCCATTATATTATTCCAATGACACCATCTACGCAATTACAGCACCTTCTGTCCAACTCTATGGCCTTATAAAACCCATACAATGAATGAGAGGTGACCAGGGCAGTAGACGGGGGGACAAAAGGGTCTGTTGTCCCAGGTTTCAGGGATTTAGGGACCCAGAATTGGACACTGTTCCTATAAATTTATATTAGAAAGGGGCCCATGTGAGCCTTCTTGCCCCTGGCCCCTAAATTTCCATGTACGGGCCTGCAGGTGACAGAATACAGAAGTCCCAGTTCACATTTCTATTTTCAAAAAAGTAAAAACCCAGCTCTCCACCACTTTGAGCTACTTCAGGGGCATTCAGAAAGTTTTATTGTCTTTCTTCTCTGTTCCCTCATTCTCCACACATGGTATCCCGCATCTGTTTCTCCAAATGGTGTCTTTTTGGCAGATGTATTTTGACAAGAAAAAAGAAAAAGGAAAATGGGCCATAAAGTGTGAAGTTATCAAAGTTTTTTCGACGGCGAGCGGCCATAAATTGATGCTGACATTTTGAGTACACTCTTTGTAGTTGCTGGTTTACCGGTTATGTTTTTGTTTTCAAGAGTTTCAAGTTTGAGCAGTGCACTGTTGGCAAGTGCAGTTTTACTCGACTGACCAAAAATATTTGAAGGAATTGTTAATATGTTTGCTTAATGTTTAACAGTTTATGTAAATTGTGAAATAGCTCCATTTTCTGTCAAAAGGTTATCCATGCGAAAATCCAAATTGACCTAATTTCACTTCCAACTTGTTCCTCTATTATAAATACCATTTTAACACGATAATAGCAGTTCTGGTTGGAGCATAATTTGCTTTTGGATATGATGTCAGCGCAGAAAGCAAAATTAGACAGAATGAGAAAGAAGTCTTGAAAACAAAAGTGTTTCTGGATACAAGCATGAATCTATTACAACTTGAAGCTTGTACAATCTGTCCGGCGTGGCTTTCTTTGCGTTTTGCTGGAATCACGTTCTGACAAGCTGTCTCAATGATAAATGCTCTGAAATGAATGCAGTTTCTATCCTGGAAGAATGTCTAGCATCAGTGTAGCGTTGCAATTAAGTCTACATTAAGCACAAAGGGACTATGGGAGCCAAGGTGGTGTGTGGAGGCTGTGCAGATGATGACACCAGACACACAGTACATCTTGTCTGACAAAAGAGCTTGTGCGTATATTCCAGAGCATTTACTGAGCACGCACCAACATATAAACAACCACAGACAAGAGCCTGAGAGCATTACAAGAAAAAATATAGTTTTTTCGGTAAACTGTACTACCAAGAGGAGCTTTGAAGTTTGTTGTGTAAACTGCATTCTATCTTTTGTTTTTAGCATTTCCTCTAAGTGTCATATATTATACCAAACTGACTCTTGTGAGCTATAATGTTATAATGTTGTTACTTGCTCAAAAACATACCTGGCGTTGTGTTTTGTTTCATTCACACATGTTTGAGTAATCCTTTATTATTGGTCTGTCTAAATCCAAATAACCAAATGCTCTATTCCACCTCCATTCCACAGCTACCTTTTACCTTTAGTTAATTAGAGACTGGAAATTCCAATAATAAAATCATCCAAATGATTCTAGTGAAGATGTATGGAGTTTAAAAACACAGTGGAGCACTTCCTGTATTACTACATGACATCACAAGGTGGAACAGAGTGTTTTCTGTTTAAGAACTTTTAGAAACTCAGCTTAAATATGCAGGATTTGTGTGTTAAACATAGACCGTATAAAGAAGTGAACTAAGCGAGTGTGACGTCGCCCACAGCGTTCGGCGGCACTCAAATCAAGCTCGTGATGCTGAACGGTTACAGGAGAGAATTTTTTTGACAGACAAAATAGCAAAAAAAACCCAACAAAACAAAACAAAAAACACCAGGATCATGTAGAGCAGGTTATTATGAACATTTTAAGACCAAAATGACAAGGTTTACAGCAGCAGTTGCAGAAAGACATTGGAACGCGGCGGCAGGTGGGTTAGGTATGTCCATAAAATGTCCAAAAACATTATAATAAACAATTTAAAATGATTGCAATATGGGCCCTTTAAATGCTGTATGCTGGTGTGATATGATAATGATTTATGCTCTTTGTGTCTTCTGTTTTTTGTTTATAAAAGTGTGATTTGATGAGAAAAATCCCCAAAGCAATATTTATAGAGTTCAAGATACTGATTAAAGCACCCCAATTAATGTACACATTTGGTTAAGAATCACTTTGTTTGGAAAGGTGTACGTCTAATTTGTACTAAAACATTTACGGCTGGAAAATTACAAATCTTGTTCTTCATGTTAAATTATACTCTAAAATATAAATCTGCTAGCAGGTCCATATAGTTACAGTTTAGGTTTCACATACCTTCTCCCCTGCTTCTCCCTTTGGTCCGTCCTCACCCATGTCACCCTGTAATGACATCACATAAATATCCGTAATTAGACGTCATGCTAAGAAACGGTATTCAGACATATTAGACCAGTTTTCTACCTGGACTTATTTGCTGAAACTGGCCATGGCCAAAATCAGCACATTATGTTTGATGCATCTGGCTCCTCAAATACTTACAAAACTCTGCAGTGAAAACTTTAGCTTGAAACTCGAGTTTTATTGCAGTTCCTGGCAGCTCCCTTAGCTTTTCAATTTGAATAAATCCTGACGATTTTATATTAGGAAGATGATAAGTGTGTTAAATCATAAAGTCTGCTAATCTGACATCATAGCTGGCGTGGAATATTAGCTACCATTGCAAGGCTCCCTGTGTCTATTTTATGAAGTATTTTTTACTGTTTTAACGGTAATTGTCTACTTTTATTCACTTTTAAGATATATCACTTTGTCTAGAAAGCCTACGTTTTAATCTAAAATATAACTAAAATACTACCTCCAGCCACCACAGTAATATGTTTGCATTTTTTAATTTAATTCCTTTTTAATTGAATTCTCTCATTCACTTCTGCTCCACAGTTTTCTTTAAACGTGAGCTTTGTAACTGTGTGGTTGGGGGTCTGTCACCTTCTTGTTTAATGAAAAAACATTAAACAGCTCCACCTTACATTTATTCAATTACAGGTGGTTTTATTGCTTAAAAATATCTAGAAAAACTGGAATTCTGACTGGCCTGGTTTGGTCTTTATGATGATAGAAAGGTTTAATGCCATACTGTGAAACATTCCAGACAAAGCAATAGCATATCCACCGAGAAAAGCAGGTGGCAGACTCTCTACCACAAAAGTTACACAGTGCACCTTTAAATGCAATGTCAGTGCATTGTCCTTACAAATATGGGCTGGGTACACCTTTAATACAAATCAGTTTAAATCTAATGTTTTTGTAAGTTACACATAATTAAAAAAATACGTCCCTAGTCAATCAACCAGAATAATTTGATCAGAATGAGAGGATCAATACTGTTCAACACTAAAACAAGGTAATGTTCGATACTGGATTTAAATCAGTGATGTTTTTCAGTCTTTTAAGAGCTCCTTTAATGGCCGTTAGCCCAGCTTTATTGACTCCCTGGTGGTCAAAAGTTTGGGAACTTGTTAGAAGTCCTGTTTCTCTGTGAGCTGCTCAAACACGGAGCAGATCTGGGGCTTACGCTTAGAATAATGTTTAGAGACGAGAGTTAGCTCGTTACCTTTTCACCTCGTTCTCCCATTTCACCCTGTTGAGAAAAGGAAGCACAGAATTACAGACAATCTCAGGAGTGGAACCTGCAGCTGCCACCTGGGGTCATACGTGATATCGAGGGTAAAAACAAAAACAAAACTGGAGAACAGTGTAGAGAAACAAAGCAGGGGTGGAGATGGATAAAAAGCACCAATCAGTTTCTCATGTTAACTCATTAAGTAAAAAGTACAGTTTTAAAGTACTGGATATACTACGCCAACTCCAACTATTGGGGCTTGTAGTATAATGGTGCTACTACTACAACAACTACTACTATTAATATTATTACTGCTACAAGTATCAGTACTGCAACTACTAACACTACTCAACTTTGGCTACGTTCAGACTGCAGGGCTTAATGCTCAATTCAGATTTTTTGTGTGAAATCGGATATTTTTGTGAGGTCGTTCACATTTTCAATTAAATGCGACTTGTATGTGATCTCCAGTGTGAACATTAAACAGACCGAAAGTGTCCCGCATGCGCACTGGAGGACACAACAACGTCAACCGCAGCGAGCATGCTCTGTGTTTACTGAAGTTGTAGCATTGAGCACCTGGAGATTTTAAAGTTCCTCTCGAGTTCCTCTCGAGCCAGAACATGAACAACTTACGTGTTTTAAGAAGGAGATTGAGAAGGAGAAGGACGAGGTTTCTGGCTGTGGCGTTTTGTGGGATAGTGGCAGCGACGTCCGTTGAAAGGAATGTGTGTATGCGGAGACGTAGCCAAGAGTGGTGGAATAACGAAGTGTTTCACTTCAGTGACACGGAGTTCATTAACAATTTTTGTATGACGAGAAGAACGTTTGTGTACATTTGTCGCTTGTTGATAACGTGTAGGTCGGATGAATGCGCTTTGGCCGTTCAGACTGAAGTCGCATGTCAGAAGATTGGATATGTATCGGTTTCAGGACCACATCTCCAAGTGGCCTAGGTCACATTTGAAAAAATCGAATCTGTGTCGTTCAGACTGTCATTAAAAGATCAGATACAGGTCACATAGGGGCCAAAAAATAGTTTTGAGTCTCTTCAGGCTGCAGTCTGAACATAGACTTTGTTTCAACCTCAAGTCTTTCTGATTGTGTATGGTAAGCACACTATATTTTTGAGATTAAGTTCAATCAATAATAAATACTTGAGCAAAATATTTTAAAACTATTTCTCAAGTATGTTATATTATTTGCTAACTCCTTACGTAATAAATATCTACATTTATCTAGCGTATGGAGGCATCAAAACAGTACAGGGGAGATCACAACCAAAATGTTAAGTGGATGACAAAAAATAAATAAATAAAATGGTGAAAATTCCCCCAAATCATAAAAATGTTTGGCAATGGGTTTTGGAATGATTTTCATAATAAAAATTGACCTTAGTTCCTGGGATACCGTCCACTCCTGGGAAGCCCATATCCCCCTACGGACAGCATAACAACAGTCTGTGTCAACCACTGCAGGTCGGGACATTGTTTTTCCTCAACCTCCTGATAACCTTTGACCTTCGCTGGGGTCACATTATTGTCACAGATGTTATGTATTTTCAGTTTTCTTGATAACTAAGTAATGAAAAAGACCAAATTTCAACATTTTGACTTGTGATTATAGATGATGCTTGGCTGAAGACTGAATTAATCTTTACAATTCAATAAACCCACATGGGAAATTTCAAAGAACAGAGCGTAAACAAGCTGATTACAAGCTTAATTTTCTTTGGTTCGATTTGGGACACCGGAGAAGAAGAAAGCCAAGTCAGGGTGCTTGTGGTTAGTTTGAATTTGCGGTTTGTAGCTGACAAACCGACCTCAAGTGAGTTTGATGCCAGAGACAATTAACCTTTTGACCTTTGCAAAGCAGCCGCATCGTCAGTAAGAGCCGCTTGAAACTAAAGCAAGTGAGGGCAGGAGAAGGAGCATATTAGGGTAAAGACAATATTCTAACCATCAATAATTAGATTTTTACCATTAAGGAGAACACTTAATATTACATAATAAATGAAATACTATGCTGATGCTGATACTTGATGCTTTTCTATAATTTAACATTACAGCTCCTTTTCCTACTGCAATATTTTCACTAGCATTAAAGAGTTATTCAAAATATGTTGATTTGATTTGGAATACTTATAAACATTTTGTGATAGAGCGCCCACTGTCTGCTTGTCTCTACTGTGCAAATACCATATGTTATTAGGTTATTTTTTCAGATCAAGAGTTTGTTTTCATACTTGACAGTTTCGACTGCTCACTCGCGATCTTCCTCAGAGAGATGTGATGTTGCTGCGATGTGTCCGGTCAGCTGATTTAAACAGGTTTTGGTCAGAGGTGGGGACTTCCAAGTCGTGACTTGGACTCGAGTCAGACTTGAGTCACTATTTTTTGGACTTGAGACTTCACTTGATAAAATGGACTAAGACTTGGACTTGAAGATCAATGACTTGGGACTTGACTTGGACTTGAGGCCTGTGACTTGAGAAGCACTTTTAAATCTGAATTCTATTCTATTCTATATTTCTATTCTATTCTGATTCACATTAAGATCTTGTCAAAACATTTAAAAAGAAAAAATTTGCATTTCTCCAACTCTTCTATACTATATAAATACTCATTTATAAATATACCATGACTTTATAAGAACAATTTAGTTTAAAAGTCATATAATTGCAAAAATCTAAGCTGTATTTGTTACTTTGGTTTAAAGACTTGAAATGGCTTGAAGCTCAAAGCAAAGGACTTGGACTTGACTTGGGCTCATGGGCCAGTGACTCGAGACTAGACTTGGACTTGCCTGTATTTGACTTGGGACTTGATTCGGACTTGAGGTCAAAGACTTGAGACTTACTTGAAACTTGCAAAACAATGACTTGGTCCCACCTCTGGTTTTGGCATTGTCTTTCTACCGGTGGAAGTAGGATGACAGCGCCATCTGCAGTCCAACTTCCTCAGAGTAAGTTAGAGTAAAGAAGCCCCCTTGTCCCGGTTTATAGTCCCATGGGCACGTTTCTGTATTTTGATTGCTTCAACGGTGTTTGTTTTCCTCTGTATAAATCAGCTGACCAGACACATCACAGCAACATCACGTGACCACTCTGAGCACTAGTGAGCAGTCAAAACTGTCAGGTATGAAAACAAACTCTTGGACCGAAAAAAGAACCTAATAACATAAAATATCGGAAGACCAAATGAATCTCATTGGACTGTGCAGAAACCAGGCAAAGCTGTAGACAAACAGGTAGCAGATCACCAGAAAAGTTATGTAGTGCGATTTTAAAATGTTTAATGCACTAAAAAAAATTGGCGTACTATTTCATGCTAATTTTAATATCACTCTGTCCACACTCATTTTGTTTATGGAATCCTAAAATACTTCTACTAATACTGCCACTACTATTATAAATGAAAAAGTAAAGTAAATGTGTATTTATATCACTATATACAAAATACTGCTACTTTTACATCTTTCTAGCTACGTCCCAGTGCTGAAATACCCAAAATACAGAAAGGAAAGTTAGGTCACATATGGAACTGGTTGAAATTGTGATAAAATTGTGTTATTCTCTCGTATCTGGTGTAGGAGAGATATCTATGTTTGATCAAAATGCTGTGTGCCAGTTATGGTACTCCAGCTGGTAGACGAAACCTGGCTGTTACTTTCCAGTTCAACTTTCTGCATGAGTGACACCTACATACCATGGCAGATTGTATTTTATAACTGCATTGGGTTCTATTTCATGGGTGCTGGCGAAACCACCTCATATAAGTATAGAAATAAGGTCCGCAGTGTGGTCTAAAATGAAACTACTCTGGTTTCTATTACAAGCATCCAACCATGTCCACGCTCTTGTGTCAAAATGAATGTTTGAAATTAAGAAAGATGGGGTCCCGCATGTAATCTTCCCATTGATCTTGTCACATTCGACGACAGTTTCGAAATAAATTCCCTTTTTTACTTTAGCTCATTGTGTGATTGTGTCATAAGTGTTTAGAGGAATATTTGAACATAGAAATTAGCTGAAATTGTGTCATTTGGAGACATTTTGTGGTTCAGATTTGACTGAGTTGAGGAGATTCCTGGTAAATAGGATGGTGGTTTGAAATTGTCTGAAGGCATGGCAGGGCAATTTTGGTTGAAACATGTAAATTGTGATAGAAAATATTTAAGGTTTCTGAAAAAATGTTGTGTTATAAATACATGAATCGACTCACCTTCTGTCCATCCACACCTGGTATACCTGGAGGCCCAAAGGAACCCTGAGAGACACAAGCAAATTGTAAATGATTTAATTATGTTTAGCAACTAATTACTGCTAAAAAAAAAAAGAAAAAAAAAGTGAAACAAACTCCTTATCCCATTGCACTGGTTAGTAGAGGGGCTAAACAAAACAAGTAAAGTAGTCTATACATATTTTTAAGTTGGTTAGTTGATAAGACTTTGAGCAGACAAGGCAAAGGGCAAATCGTGGTGGCTGGACACATCCCCAGAGGCGGTGTTACCATTAGGCAAAAGTAGGCAGCCATGTTGGGCCCCCAAACCTGCAGGGGCCCCCAAACAATTGCCCTTGCCATTACCACTAATGGCCAAGGCCTCAGAGCAATTTGATTTTCTCGCAATATGACATTAATGAGAGTAGTTTACTTTTAAACCAAAAAACACCATCAAAATAGAATCTGATTGTCAAATCTATTTTAACTGTCAAAGTGTCCCCCCTTTCACAATAGAACGCACTACTCAGCTTGACCCTGATTTGAACATAATCATAACATAATCATATATAATGGATTTAAACAAAAATGTAATTGTAACTACTAAAACTACTTTCAGCAATCCACCATAACATAAATAAAGATGTGTGTGTCTCATGAACAATGGGGAAAAACAGACAATAAATATAAAAAAATACAAGAAAAACAAACAAACAACAAAACAGTGCATTATAGTGAGGGCCCCAATCTCAAGTCCGCCTAGGGCCCCTAAATTGTTAACTCCACCACTACACATACCATCTGTAATGTGTATTTCTTTTTTCCATTTAAGGCCTTGCCTATGGAGCTCTCACCCAGTTCGAAGTCTGCTCCAGTTCTAGAAGTAAAATTTCCATTCATTTCCATGGATTTTTAGAAAAATTCAAATATGAAGAGTTGAAAGGCATTGCAAAGGCTAATCAGCGACGTGCAAACTTATATTTAATAATACCACATTTGCTTTAAGTCTAAAAAGCACATTTAAAACACAAGATGTGCATGTCTCAAGAACAATGGGGAAAAACAGACAATAAATATATTAACAAAACAGAAAAACGGTGCATTATAGTGAGAACCCCAAACTCAAGTTCTCCTAGAGCCCCCAAATTGCTAACTCCACCACTGGGTGGACCCTTATAGTCACTTTATTGTTATGTCCAAATGATGCCAAAAAGCATTTCATAATACAAAAATATATTAATAATTAATATACTGAAGATGTCAGTAGTTTTTAATTTGCTTGATCAATGAGCGCACATGTTGGACAAACTACACTGGACATAAACAAAATCAGAGTGGGTTGTCCACAGAAGCAGGCCTGTCTATTGTTCACTCCCAGACTACTGCACTTAAACATCTTATATACAGCCAAACCAGTATAAATATCTTGTGTCATATTTGAGACTGTGTAAAGTTAAGGTCTATAGTAGCAGCGGCCTAAACTGGGGGATTTTGGGTGAAGTTTCGAAATGGGATTTCAAATATGTAACATTCTGTACCGATTTTTTATTTAGTTTCAAACAGGCAGCAAACATGTTTCACTGTAATAAACCAGCGGTCTCGTTTCATTGCCGTTTTCATATTTTTTCATAATAAAAAGACTTATTATTACCACAGTTCACAAACAGCAATGTAAATCACTATAGGGCTGTGGTGAATAATCAAAAGGCTTCACCAAAAGTATTTATTTTACCCTAATCCAAAAAGGAATTACTTTGGCACTGGAAGTTATGGAGCTACTATAAGTTATTAATGGACTCTTCAAGTGCTGCAACCACTAGTACATACTGCTACAAATACTGCTGCTACTGCGGCTACTCCTGTTTCTACTGTTTCCACTACTGCTACCACTTACCACTACTACTACTACTACCACTACTGCCTACTACTATCTACTGCCTACAACTACTACTACTATCTACTGCCTACTACTTCTACTACTACTATCTACTGCCTACTACTATCTACTGCCTACTACTACTACTACTACTACTACTGCCTACTACTTCTACTACTACTATCTACTGCCTACTACTACTTCTATCTACTGCACAGTACTACTACTATTTACTACTGCCTACTACTACTACTTCTACTACTACTACTACTACTACTACTACTACTACTACTACTACTACTACTACTACTACTACTACTACTACTACTACTAACTACTACTACTATCTACTACTGCCTACTACTACTACTATCTACTACTACTACTACTACTACCTACTACTACTATTGCTACTACTATCTACCACTGCTTACTACTATCTACTGCCTACTACTACTACCTACTGCTGCCTACTACTACTACTACTACTTCACACTCTTCCTTGGTTATCACAGTGAGTTTTTGGTGTGTTTTTGTACATCAGATGCCCTTCCTGTCACTTCCCTCTTTTCTGTTCTTGGAGTGAGCAGCACGGGTGAAATACCAAACCCTGGGACACAACGATGGTATGTTCAGTCGAGATCTGAACCATTTCGCCTCTGGTTCATTCATAAACACATGCATATATCACTGGACTACTCCCACCCAGTTAATACTTCTATACAACTCTTTATCATGGTATTATTGTAGTAGTGGTAGAATGATTTTATGCATTCAACTCTAATAAAAGTAACTGAAACGGCGAGAACGCTCTTAATCTCCCGTCCTGAATCAATCATCAAGCCCACATTAAACCAAATGAGGAGCAATAGCCGGCCTTCTGCGCAGGACAGCGGCACATCTAATTGCACAGAGCCTGCGGGTCTGGCGTCTATGAGTCATTAACACTGCGCCGTGTCACGATGACCCCTCCCCGCCCCCCACGCCGACGGGACGGGCCCAGACAGGAAGCCCCTGATTGGGTTACACTGAACAAACACTGGCAGCTACCTGATGGCTGGATATGGCTTACATCTGTTCCCCACATCAGCGACTATAGCCTCTCCCCGGTCAATATCTCTCTCTTCTCTCTCTCTCTTTCTCTCTTCTCTGTTTGATCACATTGCTCTTGTTCTTTTCTTTCTACTTGAGCTATTTTAAAGTAATAGACTCTTGTGCAATGGATCACATCTGAATCGAGATTGATATCCAGTCATTTTTTTAAAGGGTTCATATTATGTCATTTCCGATTTATGTTATAATGTTGTTTCCTGATCAAAAACAGAGCTGGAGATGTGTTTTGTTCATCATTCATCATTCACAGCTCTGACTTGTGATGTCATGTGATGAAACAAGAAGTGCTCCACTGTGTTTTTAAACTCCACTACTTCGCTAGAATCATTTGGATGATTTCAGCCCTGGAATTGCCAGTCTCTACTAAACAAAAGGTAAAAGGGTGTTGTTAACTTGAACTACCACTACATCACAAAGTGGAAAAGAGCATTTTGAAATGTTGAGATGTAGACTGACTTAGGGCCTGTTTACATGAGAACGCTTGTGGGTAAAAACGACTATTATATTTTACTGGAAGTGCTTTTTGTTCAGACGGTGATGGTGTTTTGGGGCTTAAAAACGCAAGTCTGAAACCACCTTCCAGAGGGGAAAAGTTTAATACTACACTGCCCAAGACACAAAACTCTGGTCAGATCTGCTCATGTCGCGTACATGTTTGTAGTAGTTGTAGTTGTTGGATGGCATGCATATCCAATCGAATTCCACACACTTTTGCATCACAGTATGGACGCAGATTTCCTCCTGAAAACGCTCGTCCAAACGCTGACTAAAAAGTGAAGACATGACGCCACTTTTGCATCTTCTGTTCAGACCGTCATATAAACATAACCTAATAATAAAGGATTACTCGAACATGTGTGAATGAAACAAAACACAATTCTGGGCATGTTTTTGATGAGGTAACAACATTATAACAAAGCTTACAGCTCACATTAATCAAGTTTATGTAATAGAGAACCTTTAATAATCAACAATATTCTTGGGTCTTTTTTACTGCAAGATCTACAGCCAATCCTCTGTCAGTAAAATTAAATTTGGAGCAGAATTTTTACTTTGGAGGGAAAAAAAATCTGAGTTTTGTGTCAAAGGCTGTACTGTTTGTGTTCAAAGAATTTATATTGAAAGCCATTTTTATTTGTATCACAATATAACTTGACTTCTGCTGAGTATATGCTGACAATATTAAATGATTTGAACATTTGTGTATCTGCAATTTATCTTCAGATATGTTTTCATCCTATTTATGTCGTCTTTTCTATCTGTGTATTATTGTTTTCTCTGTCAGATTACATAAAATCCATATGTTATTTGTGCATTCACCAAATGCCCTTACCTATGTTTGTATGTACTTTACTACTTCTTACTACTTGATTTATTCACTGTACTGAAATATTTTAGCAGCCTAGACCCACCTCCTTTCCAAATGTACCTCCTCTTCTGTCTATTGACTTGCCCCGACTGCCCTGTATAATCTCCACCTAAACATTTTCTCACACCTTTTTCAGCTGAGTATGAACTTCTGAAGTCATATGCATGTCTAATCAAATCCCAAACATTATTCTTTTGTAAAAATATGTAGGTTACGGTCATATTTGTTGTAATGTAGAAAAAAAGATAACAATGGCAGAGTATGTGAAATATACAGATTTACAGGAAAAATTACCTTGGGTCCTGGTGGCCCCTCTGGTCCCTAGAAAAACATGCAAACAGAAGATGTCAGTTTGAACAGTTTAGAGCAAATAGAGTTACAGCGATAGACATTAGAAATGGACATAGGACACTCAATGATACAATATGTTGTAATTTAAAGTATATTTGCATTTGTTATTCAGAAAAACTAATTAGGATCAGTACAAATTAAACAGTTTTTTATGTTTTTGCATGCATTTTTTGTGACAGTTTTTAATCCTACAGTTATCAATTCAATAATTTTTGTACATGGTAAATCATCACATTTTTATATAAATCTTTTCCACCCATTCACACACACATATACACCTATTTAAGCTGACACTGAAGGCAAGGTGGGTTAAGTGTCTTGCCTAAGGACAAAACAACAGCATACATCTGTGGGAGCTCTACCGATGATGTTTATGTCAAGAGTGTGATTCAAACTGCCAACCTTCAGATCAGTGGACACCCTACCAACTGAGCTACTTTCACATACCATATTTTCTGGCCTATTGTGGACACCTGAATATAAGCCGCATCAACAAAATGTTAACAAAGTTTTAAAATTGTACCTATATAGGCCGCACCTGAATATAAGCCACAGGTGTCCACGTCTTCAAGAACATTTTCAAGTTAGGGCCATCTGCTTTTATCGCCTCTGAAATTTTTTGTTGTTTTTTTGCAATGAGTCAGTTTGTCACGCTGCTGTCGCCAAAATCTCACCATTGATGTCGAGCTCACGTGCAGCAGCTCTGTTTCTTTCTTCAACAGCGACATCAATTGCCGTTAACTTAATCATCATCATCTGCATTTCTTCGTGTGTTTTCCATGAGGATGGTGTGTGTATAAAGCACAAAATAACTGTTCAAAACACAAGCAAATGAGTACCTTCCTCGGTGCATCAGCCCCGTCTCTCCCCGCGCTCTACTGCGCATGTTTCCTGCAAGAGCCTCTGTCCTGACTGGTACATAGACTGTAGTCCATGGTCTGGTATCATGTCAGTGTCTTGTAGGATTTCAGCAGATTTCAGTGTCTCTCGGGGGCGGGGCTAGTTCTATTAATCAGGAATGAGTGGATGTCCAGCTACTGAAGTTTGAAACGTTTCTTCTCATCATTTACACATACCAGTAAGATGTATCCCTCTCACTAATGTTCATTTAACGTCATAACTTATTTTATCACATGGCGATAAACTGTTTGAATGTGCTTCACATTAACCCTAGATCCATGTGTTACCCGCACAGACAGCGGCGCTTTCTGCACTCAGGCTGCACGTATCTGCGGTCTTACCAAACCATAGACCGTATATGTGAATGGACAATGTGCCAAACAAAGAATCCGTCCATATATTACCCACATTGTTTTATTAACTGCAGGGTTCAAACTGTGAGAAAAAAGTAGCAGCTTATAGTCCGGAATTTATGGTATGTGTCAATTTAGTTTTATCTCACTTTGTACAGTTAAAAGTAAAGCATTTTCTGACAACTTAGAGATCCAAAAAGGTTCATTTTGTCTTCTTTTGTACATTCTTCTTTCATTCTTTTTTAAGATGCGTTTCTATTCTGAAGATAGCTTGCAGCTAGCAGCCGATGCATGTCAACAAGATAAATACATCCATGGTATTGTCTTTAAAAAGAACTCAAGAAGTTAACTTACAGAGATACTTGATACTTAAAGATGCTGCTAAATAGTGATAAGGACAATGCCAAACCTGAACTCCAACATAAACAGTCTTTAATCAGGGCCTTGTGAACAAGACATCTTCATTTTAGTGACTTTAATGCGGTTTACTCCTCTTTCTACAGTACATTAAGAGAGCTTTTATTTCAACATGGGTCACTTGGATAAAGTTTTGCATGAAACAGCTAAAAGGTAGCCTAATTTAAACTGATATACATTTCTGAGAGTTCACTTTCAACTTCATGAAGCTACTGAACTGACTACTGATACTGCTTTTGCGTTCTTTTATTGGAAATGATCTATCTCTTCTCTTCTTCTTGGTTGTGAAATAGCTTGATGATTAGTCTGTGGTTTTTACACCAGATGACCTTCCATGTTTATGCTGTCTTGGGAAAAAAAGAGGACTTCTTGCGACGCTTTGTGGATGATTAATTCTTATTTTAATTAAATCTGCTCTACGTTGGGGTTTTAAATGGCTGAAGATTTGGTAGATGATTTAAACTGTTGGCTGTGGGTCTAACTTTCATAGCTCTCTCAAACCATCCAGCCCTAACATACATGAGTTTGTGTGTTTGCAGTTATCACAAGGCTTTTGGTTCAACCAGACTAAGTTGCAGTGCCACCACAGCTCATCAACACCTTTACACTTGGCTGTTATGACACAACATGGTGGCCAATGGTTATCTCACTGATGACTGCAGAAAATCATGAGATCAGACCTTACCCCTGTAACTGTCCTAATCTCGTCATCTCTTTTGTGTTGGTATTATTTAAAGATCCTATATCATATCGCAAAATTTACTCTTGTAAGCTATTAGGTATGTTAAAATGTTGTTAGCTCCTCAAAACATAAGTGGAGTTGTGTTTTGTTTCATTCACACATGTTTGAGTAATTATTTTATTATTAGTCTGGCTATATCTCAAAAAATCAGCTACCTTTTACCTTTAGTTCAATAGAGATTAGCAATTCCAGGGTTTAAACCTTCCAAATGATTTTAGTGAAGGTGTATGGAGTTTAAAAACACAGCGGAGCATTTCCTGTATGACATAAGGTGGAAAAGAGTGTTTTCTTCACCTAAATATGCAAGATGTGTGTGATAAACATGCGTGAATCAAACAAAACACAACACCTGGTATGTTTGTGATGAGGAAATAACATTATAATATAGATCAGAAAACTGTGTAATATGGGCCCTTTAAATGGCAAAGAACCAAATTTGTTTCCAGCGTCATTGAAGTGAATCATCTGAGGACACAACTGGGGTGAAAAGTTTGACTGTCAATGTTAATTTCAGTGAAAAGCTGCTCTTTGGAGGTGGCCAAGGAGCCAAGTGTCCAAGTGGATGTTTGGCTTTGGTCAAAGGACAAAAATAATGACCGCTGTAGTCTTTCCGATTTTCACACAGAATTTCACATCAGTTGTCATTTTTTTTTGCACAAATATTCCAGAACCTTAAAAAAAGTTGACGGTGTAATTTCAGAAGTTATATGTGTACCAATCATTCAAAAATGCAAATCAGAAATAATTATTAAATATATTTCAATGTATGACTGAATTACAGGATTTGTTTTTATTTAAACTGCTCCACATATTTAATGTATAAAAAAATATACTATTACAATTCCCCTGCTTCAAAATTCATATAAAAACTAACTAAGAATACATTAACTCAGGTTACATTTACACTGAACTGATTCACCATATCACTGTATCGAAATGATCTGCGTCCAGACACACTGTTTCTGTGTTCGCAATCCAAGCCTTCCCTATCCACACAGGAACGCAAAACCGCCTGAAATGCTAGTCATATGACTAGGCTGGCGTCACGTCATCACGATGTCACGTGGGCGGTAAAAAAAGGAAGTTGAGCACCGTGTTTGAAGTTGCAGCAGCCAATTTTGAGCCGAGGAAGATGGAAAGTGTGAAAATAGTCTTTTTGTGGACCAACAACGGGTTCAGTTGTTACTGAACGTAACACTGGATTTAAAGACGTTTGTCTATAGTTTGTTTAAACTGTTTTCTGCAATAGTGTCACATGACCAATGTCACGAACCGAGCGAATCAGGAAGGCACAAGTCACAGTGATGTGGTCCAATAAGGATGCAACTAGAGCTCCTACGTCAGTGTATCAGTGTTTTCAGGCATCCACACAGTGCCGCATCAGATCTGTACTCAGATGAATTCGTGGGAGCTGACAGCACGAGATTGTTCCATCTCTAGAGCCATTTTCCATCGGAAAGTGTGGACGAACACTACATCTGCAACGAAAATGACTCGAATACGTACTAGTGTGGATGAGGCCTAAGAATACATTAAAGGGCCCCTATTACGCTATTTTCTGGTTTATGTTATAATGTTGTTTCATCATCAAAAACATACTTGAAGTAGTGGTTTGTTTCATTTACATATTTAAGGCACAAATCTTTCATATTTAGGTTGAGTTCTTCTCTCAAACAGAGAACATTCAAGTCATGTGGTAATACAGGAAGTGCTCCACTGTGTTTTTAAACTCTATACTAGAAACATGTAGGCGCACAAGGCGCAACAGCATTTTGAACTTTGAAAATGCAGACAGAGTAATAATAATGGGTTACTCAAACATGTGAGAATGAAACAAAACACAACTCCAGGTATGTTTTAGATGAGCTAATAACATAATAAGAGTACATTTTGGGTAATTATAATAGACCTAGTGGATAGCCTATCTGCTTATCTCAAAAGTTTTCCAAACTTTCTATGAGCTACAGTATATTTTTTAGCTACTTTTTAACTATCTAACCAAACTCCTTCAAACTTTCCTTTTCCCCAATCTACCACTTCCACCAAAGCAGCCACAGCTAAAAGTTCTCACATTTGGAGAAACAGGCCACACAGTTGCAGGGCAGTTTTACAGCGGATTACACGAACACTTAGCGAAAACCTCAATGAACAAGCCCATTATCTCAGGCCAACAAAAAGAATGGGACTTTCCTCTGCTTAGCTTCCCCAGCCTTTGTTAGCGATCCACGGTGGGTTCGGTAAACATCTTTATGAGACTGTAGGTATGTGGGAGCATGTGCCACTCGCCGGTGCACTAATTAGCTTGGCTACATCTGAGAGCACTCAAGAGCTACTGCCTGGAAGAGGAAGTCATTCACAAAAGCCTGGCTCTGACATTGATGGGAATACAAACAATTAACAGTTTCATCAGTCTTCAAGTCTAAGTAACTTAAATAAATGATCACTACTACAACAGGTTTTTAGTGTGTGGAAATGTTGAGATTCAAATAAAACACAATACAGGAATGGACTGTTAATTTAAAGGGCCCATATTATGCTGTTTTTTCATCTATTTTATA